CAGAATACACACTTCGAATGTTTAGATATTCTGAACGCTTGTTTCTTCCTTGAGACGGTGATTCAGGCATTTCCGCAGACCAAGGGCGCAACCAGTTTGCTCTCTGGTGTAGATTGCAAAAAATTCGCTCGCACCCGGGAAATAGCGTTGTCTGTTGACTCGCCAGGCAACGACGGCAGATAGGGACGAGGAGGGGGAGAGTGGCGCAAGAAGGTTCTTAATGAATTCTCCCAGATTTTTTTCACTGACGCCTGTAGATACTATTCAGCAAGCAACCGAGAGATTCCACCGAACAGTTCTCTTGAGACCTTTTCCTTTAGAGTCTCCTTCGTGGATGGTCAGTTTCTTCTTTAAACCCGCTCAAACTTCGCTGTCACACATCGGAGGCATACCACAAACTCGACACGATCAGCACCCAGTCGTATCAGCACTGCTGTAGGCTTAATGCGCTTCGTAACATACCGCGTTTATTGTAGTGCTGCCGCGTTGACGCGTTTCGTGCTGCCGCGTTGAGCTCGCAGTAGATACATATTGCGTCCCCTAAAACAAAAACCAAAAACACCCAATAATAATGCCAAGACAAAACACACACACCCTTTGATTATTAGGCTCGACGAAGCGTGTCGGTCAGCCCTAAAAACGGTAGGTTAAGGCACGTTGCTTCGCGGACGTGCCGGTGACGGTGGTGGATACTCCATTATCCATTGAAACGCGACAAATCCATAATATCTGGCTCAACATAATCAAAAACACACAGGGATGAACACGTAATAAAAGGCAGTCCTACACCAAATTTCTATATCCCCACCACGGTTCCGCGCATGAAAGCTGCAAAAACCGGACCATGAACAACACCGAATACCAGAGGCAGCACACAAACGTGTTTGGTCGTTCTAGAGGAGGAGCAGCACTTTTTGCTCGCCGCTTTCTGACCACACAACACCTTCTATCCTGATCGGTGGAGCCACACACAGCACTTCCGAGTTGTCACTTTTCACGTACTAAACCCCAACCAACACTGCGACTCCACCAGTAGATATACTTGGTGTCCGCCAGTATGGGCCCGCCCGAGTTCGCGTAACTTACGTACGTATAAAATATACGGGCACACGCCGAGCAGCCAGCTTCACGTCATTCGCAGCTCTTCCGTGCCATGAGCTCCTACTCTAGTCTTTGCCGCAGCGTGCTACTTCGTTCAACTAACTGCGAAGATTTGAAACAGGAGCAAATCGTATTGAGCACTAGGTAAGGTTCTTTTTCGCGGTCTTGGGGGCTGCTACTTCAGATGTTTCTCTCCCCCGTCCTCTTATCTGGCCAATTCATGAACTCGACGAGTTTCTTCGAGTTTGACTGCGAACACAAAGAAAAACAAAATCCCTGAATTCGAATCGCTTCTCAAATCGTTCTGTGAAGAGGGCCCGTGTGTACCCCTCAAAACAGTAACTGCTAGCATAGAAAGGGAAACTGACTGCTACCTTTAGGCAGCTGTGGAAGTACCCCCCGAAACTGAAACCTCTCATTTTCGGCCTCCAGAAAATCCGAAGAGAGTGCTTCAAACATGAAGACCAATTTTTCTTTCTACTGCATTTAATATGGTACAAAATGGATATCGCAAACGTTTTCTATCCTCGAGGACGACAGACGACGGCATGGTCTACCGAACAGCGCAAGAAAACGAGACGCTTGATAAGCTCGGACGCTCTCAGAACGTCCTGTCGCGGTCGTGGGGCTCCGTCAGGGTCTTGAGAAAGTTGGGCCCTACGGGCACGATGGCGTAGGTGTTGAGCGCCGCGTGCGACGTGTAGTAGTGCTTCTGCCTCGCAAGATGACGAAACGGGGAGGGGAGGAGGGATGGCGAAGCGGGGTTAGATGCTGAGCGGCGCTTGAATGCGCAGAACCAACGATTTGGCAGATACAAACCCAACGGGGGGGGGATCGTTCTGTGCTTGCCTTATCCTTTAGACCTGACGAGGGGGGTTGAGAACGCGAACATCATACCGTGAAAAACACCGTCACTTGAACCGAGACCCAAGCTGCCGCTAGTCCAGTCACACAGAGCGGTTGACACAGCAGCAGGACAGCAGCACACATGGTATCGTAGCACGCCGACAAAAACTAACCCTGATGTGGTCCATGTCTGTGGTAGATGCGAAGCCCTCCGGGTAGCTCTGGTACAGGTCCCTGACGTAGTTGAGGATGTTGGGGTAGTCGACGAGCCGCTTCTTGTTGCACTTGAAGTAAACGTTGTACACCTCGTCGAAGCGCACCAGGGACGGGAAAACCCTCACGTCCGACAGCGTCACCCGATCCCCGGCCAGGTATCGCCGCGTCGACAGAACCTGCTCCAGCCTACAGTGTTTGGTTTAAGCCCAAGAGAAGAAACAAGGGGTGGGGGTGGGGGGGGGTCACCTAGGATGGCGGTTTATCGAGCATGCGCGAGTTGCGCGCCGTTGCCACTGGACCATTCACCTCGAATCCCTTTCGAAACGCGCATCACGTGGGGTTGGAAATGGTGACTCTTGTTCGTGGCTTTCTTTCTGGTGGTGTCTTCTCTTTGTTTTGGGTGGGGTGAGTGGGAATGGCCTCGTGGAGGCATTTTTGTGTTCATGTCCAACGCCCTATCGCCTTTGCTACGTTGGCGTGGTCATGTTGGGCGGGGAAGGGTACCAACCTGCTTCGATAAGACAGTGGTGGGCTTTACAAGAAGGAGACCAGGCAAGTGCATGCAACGACAAATCACCTACACTTTACTTGTAGTGCCAGAGCCCCCCTCCTCCCTCGTCAAATCTCACACTCCATCACATCAAATCACAACCCAAAACCTCAGCCTAGCTTAGCCCAGCCTACGAAAGCTCAACTCACTTGTCCAGGTGGGCGAATAGGCTGGTGACGGCCACGTCGTACGCTCCCTGAGTCTTCGCGAAACCCGACCTGTAGACGCCATTGCACACTTCGTTGTACAGCCAGTCGTCCACCTCTTCCGCCCACGCTCTCTCCTGGTCCGTCTGGGGGGCGAGGTCCAGCCCCGGGTTTCCCACGCCTTCCACGTCGTTGAAGGCCGTGTTGAAGATCTGGATGATCTCCGATGACTCGTTGTTGACCACTTTTTTCGTCTTGCGAAGGGGGAGTCGAGAAGGGACGTGAAACGAGAAAGAACGTGCATTTCTGTACTAACGATGGCGAAAGTTGTCATGCACCCTGTGTGATCTAAGGCTCTTGCATCTTTTTAAAAAACCCGAGCATAACGAAACTTCGAATAACCCGGAAAACAAAACTGCGAGGAGAGGAGATCAACCATTCCACAACAGCACACGAACACAGGTAGATCAACATAAACAAAACCCACGGTGGTATCGATAGACCACTTGCAACAGGACCCGCCGCACCAAAAAAATTGCTCTGGGCGGGGGGGAGGTTCTGTGGGGGATATTTTCAAAAAATCATAACTTTTTGCCCCGGGATCGGATTTTCATAAAACAATTTGCGTTGGATGGCTGACGAGCTGAAGTTTTTTCTGCGATTTTTTTTTTATTTGCTTTGGAAACGAGGCACAAAGATAAATGTTATTCTTAAACGAAAATCAACCCTTTCCCCCGAACTAAATTTATATTTTCTCGAACAGCCTGGGTTATTCAACAAAAACCCAAGATATTCGTCCCCCCGTTTTCCAAAAAACAAGACAAAAATCGCCAAAAAAACTTCAGCTCGTCAGCTATCCAACGCAATTTATTTTATGAAAATCCGATCCCGGGGCAAAAAAGTTATGATTTCTTGAAAATATCCCCCACAGAACCTCCCCTCCGCCCAGAGCAATTTTTTTGGTGCGGCGGGTCCCATTGCAAGTGGTCTAGTACGATCGAAAAGCACCCAACTCCATTTTGCCAAAAAAGCTACATCCGGCAGGAAAAACGCTTGAGGGAATGTGAAATCAATAAGCAGCAAAAAAAAAACTCCGATGCTGCCATGTAATGCGCACAACAAGCACCTTTTCGTCCCAGAGGATGGGCACCGTATACTTGCTCATCTTCCCCGGTCCGACGGCCATGTCGTAGATCTGCCGCACGGTCTTGAAGCTGTGGAGGGGGTCAGGGATGGCGCCGGGCCCAGAAGGCACCGAACCATATCCCCCCGGGGGTACGAACGGGGGGTCGTCTGGACTCGCGAACGCCCAGCCGTAGTGGCTTTTCGTGGTTGGGGTTTAGTAGAGGCGAGATCGGCGGGTGCAGCGCGGAACGGGGGAGGGGGAGGAGGGCATTGAGCACTTTTGGTTGATGAAAAAGTGGGAACACAACGTTACGGTGGTTGCAAGAGCAAGCGGAAGAGAATATCAGTACCGTGGAAGAATCAACACGCCCACGACACTGATCAGACAAAGGAAGATCAGACCGATCTTGAAAAATTGCAAGATTCTTCGAGAAAACACGACGAAAAGACCCCCCAAAAAACACAGCAGATTAAACAACCAACCAACACGGACGAGCACATGTAGTTGAAACCGTGGGCTTGGTTGCGACCGATCATCGCTGTCAAGGGAGATATCGCTGTCACGGGAGAGCGGCACACTCACTGGTCGTTGTCATCGTCGGGGAGGGTCTTCTGCCAGGTTGGGTGAGTCGCCGACACGCCAATCACGCCTTCGAGCCCCTTCAGTGCCTGCAGGTGGCAGATGCACGTGCGCAGGGAGGAGGATCAGAATATAGCTCTGTTTCAGCAGTCTCGTGGGGTTCCGGTTTTTCACGTATGCCATTTTTGCGGTTATTGGTATCTTACCAAACACGCAAAGTCGCTACCAATAAACAAGCTAAATAAGATCTGGTACGTGTCCAGCGTGTCACGGACGGGCGAGATACGTCGGAAATTTCATGCTCGGCCAACACACGCGCCCATATCGTCCAACCAGTTGCTCATCCGCGCACTAGCACCATGTAGACGTAATGTTCTGTAGTCCCTGATAGGGGCATGATGCACAAACCCAGCAGACTGAACGGCGATTGACTACAATATAAAAGCTAGAGCGAGCACACGATGAATAGAGCAACTAGCATTGCGACTGTGACGTAGGCTGGGTGGTTTCTCTCACTCGGGCGATGAGCGCGCGTTGAGACCACGGGCACGCGTTGCAGACGTACAGGTGGTAGCGGCCAGCCTCTGTCATCGATAAGGTAGAAAAAGACAACGAAACATGTTTTCAGAGCACTCGTAGTGCAACACACAACGGGCGGTTCGGGACGGGGGGGCGGAGTCATTCGATGCTTGCCTCGGCGTCTGAATGGAAACCGCACATCAAAGTCACAGAGGCGGCAACGTCTCTAAGTAGAGAGTCGCCCACACTGTTCGAGGGCACCTGAGTCTTGTTGCAAAAAGTTTCCGTTTCATCTCTCTAAAGTTGGAGGTGCGAACGATACGAAAACCAACTATAGTCATGAACGCCGATGGCCTGGACGATTTCGGGAAACGATGATTTCTCGGGATTTTCCGGCAGACAACGTCGGGGTAGCCGCTGGCAAGGGCAGACATAGTACATATTTTGGTGAGACTTGAGCAACGATAGCGCAAAGAAGAAGGATGGTATGGCAGAGCATGTCGAGAAGGCCCGCCCGCCCATGCCAGCTTGCGACAGATGTCAAGTTTAGTGCGCTCATCACTGGTGTATGTATATCAATCTCGATTCTTCCTCAGAACGCCGCGAAGCACCCCCATCAAGACCATCCTGCACTTCCGCACGGATGCCACTTCCTACATGTACAGAACGATCGTCCACGTGCTCGTGAGAAAACTCAACGATTGTCCCCTTCTTGGAATCGATGTTACTTGTTGGCCACACCACCCACTATCCTCCTCGAAGATGTGTCTCACAAAGCAGCCCTTCCCATCTGAAAGAAAGAAGAGAGGGCGTGCAGACGCCGTAGTTGCCATTTGTCTTGACCCTCGCCAATATATTCCCATGTGTAAAGCTAGAAGTAAGTACGTAAACAGGTGAGGAGCTCCTCAGCTCACCAGGCGTGAAAAGGGAGTCGTCAGGGCCCATGCTACTTCGGAACTCAGAAGGCGATCGCAAGAACGCACCCGGCTTATGCACCGGGTCGGAGCTGCTGACGGTTCCCCGGAAGGTGCTCTCCGTGCGCTTGACGTTGCCGTCCTTGTCTACCTGGCGATTGCAAAGACGACGGCAAGTCGAGGAGACAACGGGGAGGGGCACAGTAAGCGAAAAAAGCGTTCAAAGGTATTGGTGGAAAGAGAGGAGCGAGAGACGAAAAATGAAATATCGACCAATAACGCGTAGATGTGTCATGTGTCTCCAAACAGAAACAACCAACCGTCTCTCTCCCGTACTTGTTGCCGTTCTTTGGACGGAAGAGTGTCATTTTGCTGTTTTTCACGACGTGTTCCCGTAAAACTCGGACATACTTGTTTGGCAGCAACATCTCAACATGTCGACCTGTTTTTTTCAGAAAGTATACACAACCTCACAGAAAGACTACCCGTTCGAGATAATACCACAGTATTGTAGTCGAAAGGGATGTGTTGAGGTATTTCCAGTGAGTGGGAAGACAACCACCTATACACCGACTTTTTTATCAGTGACGCCAGCAGGTGCTAATCACAAACACCTCTTCGATTTTTGACACCACACTTGCTACATGTACTCCCCAAACCTGAAAAATAATTAATAAAAGTAGACACACCCATATATATTATATATGATTCTATTGCGTCCCCAAACCTGGAAAATAAAGAAAGACCCAAAACACAAACAAACAACACACCCCAACCCTTACATACTAGACTACTACACAAATAGCTGTACCTGTCGGAACAACAAACACGCACGTATGCCCACGCCCAGGCACCAGGCACACACGACGCCGACATCAATCGAGGGTGGAGGCGGAAACGCTTATACGAGCGAGCTACTTTGCATTATAATCTGTTCGGGAACACACAAAAATTGTGTGGGTGTATGATATGTGCACCGGTAGTGCGAAACGAGTCAAAGCAGTGTACCAGACATGGCCCCGAAAGACGTCCAACACTGCCAGCCTCAAACATCTATTACCATTGAGAACTACAGGCGCCCCGACAAGCCTCATGCTGACGATCCCCATATAGATTGGGCAATGGGTCAACGGGTCAATTACAGAGAGTGACAAACGGCGGTACAGTATTGTAGTAAAACGGCAGATTTCCGGCACTGCCCGCCTTGTCGGCACGGCCGTAAAACTACTGTAGACTACATATGTACCGAGCAAACCCTTGATATTTTCGCGGATGGTTTGAGCGTGGCTGCTCATTGAAAATGCTCGTGCCAACACGATTGTTCCCCATGCGATTGTCTCTGTCTATACCTACCTCATCCAGAGTGCTCTGCGAATTCGTCGCCATGTTCCGGGAGAGGAGCGTAGAAACGCGATGCTGGTGAAAACCTGTGCGTATGAAGAGGAAAGCAGAGAGGAAACAAACAAACATGTTGTTGATTCAGGATCACAGGAGAGGAAACATGTTGAGGAAGCATCATACAGGATCGATCGGCACGAGATTGGCATTGTCCAGCAGTGGTATGTCTAGCACAGCGCATTCCCGCTATGCCACTCGAGACTCGAGAGGCACATGCGCTATTAATAGTGCGGCAAGGAGTAAGCTGGTGTGCCTCCCATGTCTGTCTGTCTCTGTCTCCCTTCGAAATATCCGCTGGTTGCTCTATCGCTGGTTGGTTGTGATTCGCCTCGAACTTTTGTGGGAAACCACAACATGTGTCCGGCGTGCCTCACCGCTTAGTTGGTTTCCTCCAAGGTCGAGGTATATATGTGAAGGCTAGGGCGGGGATGGCACAGCACATCGATCGAATCGAAGCGGGGGAAAGACAAATCGTCCCGTCCCGTAGCGCTTCTAGAACATTCTACGCACCCCAGTTGAACCGTTGGAAGCTAGCTTTGCTTACCTTCTCGCACCACGAATGAAGACGAACGCAGCAAAAGGCACGAGAGAAGACCGGCTCCCCTGTACATCTGATGCAAGAGCGGCGGGGAACGTGGCAGCAAGCGCGTTCATAAAGCCAGTCGGAACTCCGTCGGGTTACTATACAGCGGTGGGTGTGGCACACGACAAGCGAGCAACAATCAAATGGACCGCCAGGTTTTTACCAAATTTGCTCCGCCCGATCCATGCGCTAGGCACGGAATCGTTCGCAATGCAGCTGCAGGAGCCCAACATGAGTCCCGGAATTATCTCTTCATGGCGTACAAGTTGGCTCTCTCTCACCTGACTGGTTGGACGGGAAGTGGCGTTGTTCAGCTGGTGCGAGTGCACGTGCTATAAGGTTATTTGCTGGCCAGTTGGTCCTCCGCAGGGGAGCCGCAGAGTGTATCACGTGATCCCCCGCCACTTTGCGCCGCACTTATGTCATCGGTCCAGCCCACATCTTCTTTCATGCACACACACTTGCCGTGCTCTCGCTTGTCCTCATCTCATCGTCTCGGGGGCGTCCTTTTCACCACTATGCCTCTGCTCTTCGCGCTGTCGTCGATCGTGCTGGCCGCCTCTTCCGTCGACGCCTTCGTCTCTTCGCCCCGCGCCGTGCTGCCGTCGTACAGCAGCAGCAGCGGGATCAACACGCACGCGGCGTGTAGGAATGCTGCCACGCGCGGAGGACCTTCCTCGCTAAGCATGCACGGCGGGCACCACCTCTCGGCCGAGAGAAAGGCCGAGCTCGTCGCCACCGCCACGGCGATGTCGCAGTCCGGCAAGGGGCTCACGGCTTGCGACGAGGGACCGGGCACGATCGGAGATCGCTTCGAGAAGGTCGGAATCGACAACACCGAGGAGAACCGCCGCAAGTACCGGCAGATGCTCTTCACCGTGGCCAACGGAGACCAGTTCCTGTCCGGCGCCATCCTCGACCCAGAGACCGTCTACCAGAAGACCGACGACGGCGTGCTGTTCCCCGAGCTTCTCACCAGCCGCGGCATCGTCCCGGGTGTGAAGCCGCACCTGAAGGTCTACGAGCTTCCCGGGTGCAAGCCGGGAGAGACGGTTATGCAAGGGTTGGACTCGCTCGCGGCCAGGTGCAAGGAGTACTACGCGGCCGGCTGCAGGTTCGCGAAGTGGAGGTCGCCGCTGGTGATTGGGGCGGACGGTGACATCTCGGCCTTGGCGATCCAGACCAACATGGACGATCTTGCGAGGTGTGCACGTGCTTGGTCGTTTGATTTGACCTTCCGGAGTTTGCTCATCATGTTCTCATGTTGTTGGTCTGCTGCCCGCATGCTCAGCTACGTACCACACATACCACATGTATTGCCGTCCGTCTCGTTTCGCCGTTGTTGCCGCTGCAACTGCTATTGTGCGATATTGGCTTGTGTTTTTCATTGCGTTCGATCGCTCCTCGACGTTTTCACCTGCCATGCCTGGTAGATCGTTTATTCGAAAAACGAACAATGGATATTTTAGTTGTTTGCCTCCGCAAATAGTATGACACCCCACCCGCTGCTGTCAGGAAAAGATCCCTCAACCCCAAACTTTGTCTGCGATGCACCCTATAAAGGCGCTGGCTCTGTGTCCTGCACTCCTGTATATTCGTGCTTTTACGCTTTACGTGATGTAATAATCACTAGCAAACGAGAGGAAAAGTACACCAACGCAAAACAGAAGCAGTCGCGTGGGAGGATCGCCTCTTGTACACTACACGCCCGTGTCCCATGAGCAACGCTTGCACTGCGTTGTCCGCGGATTCTGCCGTCGTCCCCAACCTGCCCCCGGCGCGTTCGCGAGCACGCAACCTAGACGTTGCCTCTTTCACACATAAGCCTTTCTTGCAACAAATGCAACCCAGGTACGCCCTCATCTGCCAAGACGAGGGCCTCGTGCCTATCGTGGAGCCCGACATCAGCTTGAACGGCGACTACGACCTCGAGACAGCCATCCGCGTCAACGTTAAGGTCCAGGCGCACCTCTACAAGGTAAGGACTACTTCGTACTTCGTATTACCCAAAGGCACCTTGAGCCGGTCGCCCTGGTGGTCTAGTGGTTAACCTCGTCGACCTACTGTTTAGCGGTAGATTGTGAGTTAGATGCTCTCCATCGAGTGGACAAAAAGAGAGTGCAGGTGCCGTGACAAACGATTCTTCTGTGGGTGTATTGTACACAAGTCGACTGCACGGTCGACGAGGGCAAGGGACGGTTGAACTCTTCCCGCGATAAACACTTGGGCACGCAACAGCAGGTACTGCTGTGGATCACTACAAAAATTAACATCAGTAGCACCTGTGTACCTTCCTCTTGTGTGACCCTCTGCTGACACGTCAAACATACGCCAACACCGAACAGTGTGAAGATTGGCGCCAGAATATGGATGGGATGAAAGCGCGCACCGTATCTCCAGCAATGAAATGGGGGACCTGGTCATTCTGTAATCTGCAGCGGAACCTTCTCGTATTCCCATGGAGGCGATGAAGTTGTTTTTGCGGTACGCTGTTCTCATGCTGGTATTCCTGAGGGCAGAACCACGTATAGTACTTCTTGAACTGCACTTCCCGCGTGGCTTATACCATGTCTATCATGCACTTGTCATCGTTTGTTTCAGTCGAGGGGGGGGGGGAGGGGGGGAGGCGGCGACGACCGAGGGCTCGTATGAACACTGTGACGCCTAATTCTCCGGTGATGCTACCTCAAGTTTTGAAGCGTGTGTGTGGCATCCCAATTACTCTGGACGTTCAGATATTGCAGGGAGATAAGCAGGTTACAACGATCCTGTCCGTCTAGAAGCTGTTTTTTTCGACCACACACTACCGATTATATATACCCAATGTTGGCTGCCCGCCAAAGGGCTCTCTCTACAGCAGTAGGGGGCGAAAATTCATGAGAGTTTTGCCATTTTCTGACACGTGCATTTGCCGCATTCTTCATCCCTCCGTATCTACTTCCCAACCTTGGTTCTCTCGCCCGGTCTCACGTTCCTGCCATTTCACCCTTGCTCTGCTGCGCCGCAAGGCCATGCTGGACCACGGGGTCTTTATGGAGGGGTTTACGCTCAAGCCCAACATGGTCAACCCCGGGCGTGGCTGCAAGTCCAAGTCCACCGCCAAGGAGATCGGCGAGGCCACCGTTACGGCCCTGCGGAGAGTCATGCCCGCAGCCATGCCCGGCGTGAACTTCCTCAGCGGGGGGCAGACCTTGGAAGATGCTGCCGCGCGGCTGTGTGCCATTAACCAGGTTTGCTTTGTTGGGGGGGGGGAGGGTGACTGGGTGCTCTCGATGGAGTAATACGACAGGGTGGATGGGGTTGGTGTATGAGTGGGTGGGTAGAAACCGGTGAGTATCCAGGAGAACTGCTTTGGTCTCTTTTGTGTTCGTTTCTTGAAGAAGGGGAGATGTGCGCGCAAACTAATCACGTGGTTGATCGAGCGGTAGGGACTACGCATGTTGAATATTTCATACGTGGGGCAAAAAACCTCGGAGTTGGAGCATTTCGTACGACTTGATTTGAGGGCGTGGATTTTTTTTTTTTTGTCTTCACTTCAAACCAGCGCTCACAGCACTAGTGCCGTTTACTCCAACCCGTGGTCACACAGAAGAGCCTCTCTCTACCCTCCCCTTCTGCGGTACTTTGCCTGCGATTTTTAATGCGAGAAGAGTTCAGCACTCTCTTCCCTCTGTGTACACACGAACTAGCGCTATCCACTAGGCCAGGAGCGGAAGCGAGAGAAAAACTCACTTTGCAAGAAAAGCTCGCCTACGCCGGGATTCGAACCCCTGACCTGACCTCTAGAAGGTTGCAAGGTTACCAACTAGACCACCGGGGAATGAAACCATCTGGAACGAAAGGGCGCCAGTGGAACGCTCTTGGATTTTTGTCTTCGTGTCCTGAAATTTCAAGCCAGATACTCGTTGCTTTTTTTCTCAGAAGGTCCTGCCGGATTTCCTCGTTACTCGGACCGAGGAGGAAAAGTTTGCCTTGCCTGATGATGCGTGCTTTCGTTTGTGTTCGTGGGGATTGGTCGGACGGCGGTGGGGGCGGCGGATTCTCACCCGACGCGATATTTCTCACTCGACGCGATGTAAGGGTCGAAACCAAGGAGGAGCACACCGAAACACCAAAAATCGGGTGTTAATGCTATTGTACGTCGTATTCAGCGTGCTCCTTCCTCCCGCAGCACAGCCCCGTGCTTGCTGACGTTAAACACGCCACAAAGCTTCCATCCGTGCCGTCCTTGTCGCGTTCTGATCACAATCGTTTACACATCTCCCCGTCGCTTGATCTTGCTTTACGTTTGTCCCGATTTGGAACGTTAGGCCAAGGGGAACTCCCCGTGGAACCTAAGCTTTTCCTGGAGCCAGGCGCTGCAGCTGCCGCTCTTGGATCTTTGCAAGAAGAACCCCAAGGGATCCGACCTCCCCCTCGAGGAAATGTCGGCTCTCTTGGAGAAGGAGCTCGTTATCGCGGGGGCGGCGGCGCGGGGAGAATACGAATACGAAGCCGGCCAGGGAGACCACAACTAGAGTAGTCTAGGCCTTGAGGCACGGGTTTTTGCAGCAGTGAAGTACGGAGGGAGCACGGAGACATGGCGACAAAAGAGACATTTTATTTTGACGAGCCCTCCCTTCTTCCGGTTTAAATTCACCGTTTTAGCTCTTTGATGTATTTAGTTGCGACCTGGCTGGTTTTGCAGCACAGAGAGGTTAGCCTGGTTGCTGGGGTTGGTACTGCTGCCGCGAGTGTCAGCACGCTTGTCTGGCGTGCGGCGGCGGCGGCAAGCGAGGGTTGCTGTTCAGGAAAGAACGACCTGGACCTACACATGCATACAATTAGACTTGAAAAAATATATTTTATGTGTTGCCTTCTCTTGTACTAAGGGTTGCGCCCGCGCTTTGGAATTTGGCGTTAAGATTTTGAGCCTAAAAAAAAATCTAAATCTAAGAACTTGAGATCGGTTAAGAACCCCTTGCACTAAAACGTACGTAGCGGCGATTCGTAGCATGACCCTGGAAACAAAGAACCCCGGCCTCGGCCAGAACAAAAATAGAGGTTCCCAAGTGCGGGCGCGTTCTGTATTCTCGGGTGAGTTGTTGCAACCCGTATCACGCCGACGACTCAGAGCGAAGCTCAACAAGCGACGCCTGCTTGGCCGCATGTAGATAGGAAGGACACACACACACACACGGCGATGGAATGGTGTGAGGTGATCTTTGTTGGACCTGACTCCCCGTGAAAAACGCAAACTCAAAACGTTGGGATTTCAACTCGTCGGCGTGCATGTGCTACCGTTTCTGTGGAATCAGGCGACCTCTCTGCCTTGCCCACCCAATTTTTTGCCGATCTGGGCGTTATTACCACGCAAAGACCTATTTACATTTTTTTTCTCCGACGCATGCTACTGCAGATGCTAGAAACGGTGGACTTCGGCTGATGCATGCGTCGGTTGTTGCTGAGTGAAGCAAGGCCAGGCACGCGGGCAAACCCGCTTTTTTTCTGTTCAAACGCGCTGCCCTGTAGGAAAAGCAACATAGAGCAGACGGTGATCACAGATTTTCTCAGTTTGCACACTCGCGAAGCACTCGTGTCATGAGATTCATCTCCGGAGCGTGGACGCCTGCTTGCCTCTGCTTGTAAGTGCTATGTAGGCATAGTTTTCGTCCAAGAAGGGCAGCCCTGCAAGCATTTTTCCGGCCACGTTATTGGTGGAACCATTCATCCCTTCCACGCGGGACACACGAGACTACTAGGGACAATCTAGCGTCCACAAACATAACTTGGGTTGTCGCCCGAGGGTTTCCACTTGAAAAACATTTGCTGGGGTTGATTTTGATCGGTTCTTTTTCTTTTCTCGGACGTCCCGCGAAGGAAGGAGCAACGCCGACAAGCAATTTCTGCAGAAACTCGCTTAAGCATCTGAGGTCTCCAAATACTGGCCGCGATACTCCCCCCCCACGCTAACAGGTTGGAACGAAAACATGAGCAGGGCTCACGGAAAGAAGATGGAACACGACCCGCAACGATACACCATACAATACAGCACAGCAGCAGTAGCGGTAGGTTGTGGCGAGCATCACATCGATTCAGCACCCAACCATCGAAAGACAGTCAACGGCCTCATGCCGGGCAAAATACGAAGAGTAACGGCAAGAGACCACGTGTTCTGCTTTCGTCAACAATTCGTTGTTGTCACTTCCCCACTCCACCAGCGCCACCGATACAAAAATTAAAACACACATATCCATACATCAAGCAATGAACAACCTTGTACCGCTACACCAACGCCGTCGTTGACGCGCGCAGTGCCACCAATCCAATGACACCAAAACACATGTCTTGCAAAACTCCACACGAAACAGATCCGCGAATCACATCGGCATCAACACTTCTAACCCCCCCCCCCCCCCTTCCTAGATGCCACAGCAGTTAAGGACGGCACCAAAACAGGCTCGGCGCTCTGACGCGTCGATAAGTCCCCTTTTTAGAAAAAGGGGGAGCGCCTTTCCCTTCCTTTCCAAATATGTACACTGCTTTGCGCCACAAGCACCTACCGTCTTACACGTAGTGTACGGCCACCAGGCACGTCAGATCCGACGGCAGTTTCGTGGTTTCCACAAGCGGCGTGTAGACAAAACAATGCCCCGGCTGTACGGGGCCTTTCGTTCCCTATAATGCATCGACACGACGATGTGCGCGGATGCATACTACACCAACCAACTCTGTGCCACCAACAAAAATGTAAAACGCCCCCCGATGAAAAACTGCACCCATCCCGTCGTACCGGTCGACTACGCTCTACCGCCACGCTTGCGTCTCTAGTGCTACAACGGGGCGTCTATCTTAAAATCGCATCATCTCTAGTGGTAGAGTTCTTCTCGCACCTTCTATATTTCCAGCCCCGTTGGGGCTTTGTACAGCAAAAACAACAATCAATCGCAATTTGACGGAGGCCCCGTTTTGTCACCCTGGTCGTCTCCACCATCAACCGATCGGTCGTCTCTACACGATCGGTACCGTCGGTTTAACAGCAGCAGTGGTCGCTCTACTGCTGCCGATCTATCCTCTACAACAAGCAGACAACGGGGGCAGCCAGTCGGGTGCTTTGCGGAGCAGCAGCAGCAAGCGACGCAACACAACAGACAACAGGACAGCAGTGGTTTACTTGGTACCGCGACCGCCATCGACACTCCAGGACGTAATTCGTCAGCACAGAGCAGATAGACCAGCGTGCGCGATAAATGAAGCACGGTCTCAACAACACATCACACGACTTCGTTTCCAGCCCGCTTGCGAAAAAAAAAGAAATGTTACTATCAATACTTCGTAACACAACAACGAATCCATCCTCTCAACAGACACGAGAGTCCGCCTGGGATAACTTAGCAATGAATCCATAGCGTTTGCCGAAGCACTGCCACTGATTCTACGATTCCCCGAGCAGCATTTTTCGTTGCGCCCGAGGTGCTTTCCAGCGTTATTTTACTGTATTCTAACTATTGTAGCGCTTCAAAGAATGGAACACTCATCCCCAGCAGGCATTGGCTTCGTTTTCCCCAAGCCGCTCGACAAACTCAGGGTCAAAACTTCTCCGAAGGGTTCTGCCCAACTACACTTCTAAACGCCGCCAATAGCTGGGCGGGGCTACTATGTAGCACGTATCTTACTTGAAGACGTTTTTACGGAGGCATCTTGACAATCTCCATTGTCTGACCATGTTCGAGCAAAACGCCTGACCTGAGCGCAAGCATTATATATCCAATGAGAACTTGACCACGAGGTGTGTTCACAATCGGAGAAGTAGCTGCATACCGTGCTGACGTGTTCCGCTACGTACGCCGAGTGCAACCTGCTTTGTAGGGGTCAACAAGAGAGAAAAGGGGACGGAAGCAGGCAAAACGAAAGAGATGGGCTGGTGTGAGCCGGGGCTGGCGAGCGAGCAGGCTCGAAACGGAACCAAAACCAACTGCTCGCCAAATCTCACATGCTGCAAATACATATTCTTCAACACAAGCGAAAAGTTTTCAAAGCTTCCCTCTCTTCGCCCCCATTGCCTGAGGTGCAGTAATCACGATGAAACACACATATCCAGAACGCGTACTGCTAATTCCACCCAACCAAAACAAAGGCGACTGCGCCACGGAACACACGACAGGAAACAACTGCATGTACGCACGGCCGACTTCTCTGTCTGTTCTAATATTCGACGTGGCGCGGAAGCAGCAAAAATAAAAATAACAGTGGTCGGTACTACCTCCCTTTGGTTGCAGCTTGAAAAAACAACGCAGACGGGGCTAACAACCATTCTAGTGGACGGGAACTCACAATCACCGAGTCGAAATCCGAAGCCCAGACCTCCCTCTGCTGATGTGGGAGGGCGTCCCGGGCACCCAATGCTGTTGCTTGCAAATGCAAATTCTTCCGGTGCTGGCCACCACCCTCGATCTCGGGGTGGGCACCGTAAGGAGCTCTGCGACGTACATCGGGTCCAGTTCCACGTCCTCCAACAACGAGGTCAAGAAGTTCTCGATCGCAAGGCACTTGCGCCCCAGATGAGCCGTGTCGAGCGCCTTGCCTCTGGGCGACTTGCAACGTCGCACCGCGTCCCACGCGGCCTGGCTTCCCTCCGTCATGGAGCCGGACAGCAGCAGCTCGGACGCGAAGCGCTTGATGGTGGAGAAGCGAGTCCAGCGTTCGTAGTGAGCGTTGACGAGCACAACGCGGTACTCGCAATGCCGACACTTGTCTACCTCCTGCACGATTCGAAAGCCAGAGAGATATACGCTCCGAGTGCCACGATTGCTGCTGCTGCTGCTTGCTTCTCTGCTGGCGATGCCATCTGTCAGTGAGGCCACGCCCACCAGCAACCCTGAGCCTCGCCTACACTGCTGCTGATCCATGTTCCTGGCAAGGGTGGGCGGGTGATAAAAAAGACTGCTTCGATGAAAGGCTGATCGGCTGGTGCGCGGCTTGCGTGGCGGGTGCTCTGCGGTTGGTGCCGGGGCGTGATGAGAACCGGAAACGAGAGTGTGGGGAAACGGGGGCGAAAGGGTGGACAATTATGACATCATTGGCTATTCACCGCAAGTTGGAATACGTACATTGCTATTGAGATCCTCAATGTGTCTCTCTGCGTACGTATGCGTCTTTTGCGTTTGCGTGTGGGAGGGGGGGGGGGAATCTGACAGTCCCGTGCGTTCAAGGCTCGAGGCATGAAGCGCAAAGGCAGAGGGCAACAGCTCAAGAATTGTTGGTCCGTTCGGGATACAGGCAGCAGCAGTGCGAGAGAGGAAGGGTGTCGTGCACTTATCTCCTGGGTTTACCCAACGATTTTGTTGTTGCCCTGAGAGAACGGGCTTGCGTCGTCCAGCGAGCGACAGCAAGAGATTCAGCAAGGACCGAGAGAGAGAGCGAGAGAGAGGAGAGCGGAGGAGACGAAACTACAAGCGTACAAGCTACCACGCGGGAGGGAGGCCCTCGAGTGCCGGAGAGCGCGTACTGGTACCATGAATGCTTTACTATTAGTGTTGGCCGTGACATATCAGCAGTATGCGGCTGCGTTCATGGTTATGCCGCAAGCGGCACCGTCTCTTGCCTCGGGGGAAACGGCCACCAGCACCAGCAGCCTGGTCGCGCGAGGAGGGCTACATGTAGCGATCGATGTGTCAAGTGAAAGTGAGTCATCTCGGCCAGTGTCGCAGTGCGCGAGTGGGCTTCCATGCGGGGAAATACGTGTGTGCGTCGCTGCTATGGGTGCGTATACGCTGCGATGACACGATAGACAACCGTAGCTTTTTTTCTTCGACCACGGCGTGCCTACGACGTCGTTGTGGAACCATCACAGGCACCGACACCGCACGCCGTACGCAGCAGCACTGCTGTACATACATCCGTTGCAGACCGGATGACAAGTTTTCCAACATGACATGAGGGGTTCTTGCGGCTGTGTCGAAAACGTTGGTTGACGGGGATTATTCTCAGATCCTTCTCGGCTTCGTGTCGGGGATTTCCAGGCTGCAAGCAAGCGAAGGTGAAATTGCAAGTACCCGAAGCCCAGGGTAACCGTCTGTGCGTCCGAAGCAGGTGGTTGTAGCAAAGTCCAATCCAATCCCCGCGTTTGACGCACTTTTTTGTATTTTCACTATTCTACCCTAGCCTTCGCTGTCAACCCAAGCGCCCCCAGGTGTATGTGACGTCACCGTTACACATGGTAGGCGCTACAGCAGTTTGGCGTGCATTTTGATACGTGCCCATGGGTAGGGGCTGGTCTGTGAGCAATACACAGCGCCACGAATCGCCTCGAGCTCCAATTTTTCCGTTGCAGTCTGCGGGGGGTGGGGGGGGGGGGGGGGCGTACTCTTATGTTTTGCATGCCTTAGCGGTTAGACCATTGACCACGCGTCCTCGAGAGGACGGAGCATTGTTCCCACAGGACCGATCACCGATGGCCAATCGTTCCTTCCTACTTTGCCAAAGGTGGCTAAAAAAATTCTTCCCTAGTTTGTCTATCCTAACGATGTCCCTTCCCGCCTTTTCAAACCACTTTCTACTCCCCAGTACCGCTACCGTCCTCTCCTCCCTATTCCATGCCTCAAACATCTCCCTGTACGTCCCTTGTATTTTTCCCAGCTCAGTCATGTACACTTCCCTCTCCTTTTCGTACCACGGACATTCCGCGACTACATGAACACTGTCTTCGCATTCGAAGCCGCAATCACATTTGAACTTGTCGTCTTCGTCGTCTACCGTCCTATGTCTTCGTCGACGTTCGCGAAGGCCTATGTCCCCGGTCCTGAATTTGACCTTAAGCTTTGTCCCTGCATCCATTGGTCCATGTAGGTAATCCTTGAACCCTATTCCTTCTTTCAACATTCCGTACACTTCTAGACCCTCCTTATCCTTGGATTCTTTCCTTAGATTCTGTTCTTCTCTGTCGGCACAAGCAACAGATATCTTCTTCTTGAACCCCTGTAGACCCTCCGTTTCAAGCGTTTCATCTTCGTCGATGTCCAATCCCTTCCATACGTCCTCTACAACCTTGACCCATTCCGTGGGTTGTCTACCCCTCTTTTTGTTTGCCCAGTTCGCCTCCCATACTATTCTCGGCAATCTCTCCTCTCCCATCCCGCACATGCGATACTGCCATGTCAGCTTCCTTACGTCTCTTCCCGACCGTAGGGATTGGATCCCCAATTCTGCCCTGACTGCTGCATTACTTGTGCGCTTGGAGCATCCTAGGATGATTTTCGCTGCTTTCATCTGCGCCGCCTCGAGTTCTTTCACTACCTTCTTATTTCCTTCCCATACTTCTCCGGCGTACTCTAGCGGCGGTACGATTACGCTCTTCAAAACCGTCAATTTGATGCGTGTATCAAGGTGCCGGTTTGCGAGTATTGGGTGCAGCTTCCCTGCTCGTGCTTTGCCCTTTTCCGCTACCTTGGACATGTGTGTATTCCACGAGCAATCTTTTGCGATCTCTACTCCGAGGTATGTGTACTGGTCCACTACTGCAATCTCCTCGACCCCCCACTTCCATCTATGTTCTACTGGTTCCTCCCTGCCCTCGTTGCATACCATGACGGCACTCTTCGTAACGTTGGCAGACAATCTCCACTTATCAGTAAACTTCTTCGCCGCGTCAATTTGCAGTTGCAGTCCCTCAGGGGTGTCCGACATACCAACAAAATCATCCGCAAACAGCATTCCTGACACCGAAGTTTCCGTGTCCCCTACTTTTACTCCCTTCCGGACTGCCTCTACGACTTCCAACAGATCGTTGATGAACACCTGGAACAATGTTGGGGACAGCGTGCAACCTTGTGGGACCCCTTGCTCAATGTCGAAGAATTTAGAAAGTTCTCCGTCTAGCATGACCGCGCTTTTCGTACACTCTGTCATCTTCTTCAGCACTCTCCACATTTTCCCCTTGATCCCGTACTTGGACAATTGTTTCCACAGCCCATTTCTCCATACGGTATCGTATGCCTTTTTCACGTCCAGGAAGAAGCAGTACGTCCGCTTTCCCGCCCTCTTTCTACCTTGGATGATTCTCCCTACCGTGAATGCGTGGTCTACGCACCCCCTCTTCTGTCGGAAACCTGCCTGGCCCTCACTAATGCTACGTTTCTTCTCCATTACTCCCACTATCCTATCGTTCAGCAGCTTACAAAACACTTTTCCTACTGTGTTCAACAGTGTGATACCCCTGTAGTTTCCTGGGTCAGTCTTGTCTCCTTTCTTAAACAAGTTCACAACCACTCCTTCCCTCCATCTACTTGGCGCATACTCGTTTTTCCACACCCAGTTGTACAGCAGTACCATCAGCTGGATCATCCCCTTCCCCCCAAACTTCATGAACTCGTTGACTATCCCATCCGCCCCTGCTTCTTTGTGGCACTGCAGCTTGTTCACACACGCCTCAACCTCGTCCTCAGTGAACTCCTTTTCTAGTTCTATGTTCCCAACGTCTGCCTTCGATGTCTCTTCTTCTTTCTGGGCCCATGCGTCCACCTCCTTCTTAAACACTTGGTCAAAATCCTCATTCTCCGAAGGCACTCCAAGTCTCTTGTAGTGTCCTGCTAGAACTTCCCTTTTTCCCTTCCCACTGCTGACTAGTCTACCGTTCACACCTCGCAATGTTGCTACCCCTCTATCCCCCCCTTGCGCGGTCTTTTTTACCATCCCACTAATCCCTTCCCACATCTGCTTGGCGTTCCCCTCCAGGCCTCCGTTGGCCTTCTGCACTACTTCGTCCCAAATGCACTTTTTCTTCTTTTTCACTAGTCCCTTCACCTGTTTCCTCTTGGCCCTGTACTTTTCCCAACTCTCTTCAGACCCCTCACCCAGGTATTGCTTGAAGACTTCTCTACGTTCCCCTATTTCTTCTTTCAGCTCGTCATCCCACCACTTAACCGATACCCCACATCGTACCACCTTCTTTCCCACTACTCTCTCTGCCGTTGTGTTCACTATAGACTCCCATCCTTCAATCACCCTGTCCCCTGCTGCTTGTGCGTCTACCTTTCCGTCTTCGACGCTTCTCAGCAGTTTCCTGAAGGGTTCTACACTACCAGCCAATCCCTTCTGGAAAGGGGGGGGGGGCGTACTTTACACTTTGAATGCCTTGGTAGTTAGATCATTGACCACGCGTCCTCCAGATGACGGAGCATTGTTCCCACAGGACTGATCACCGATGGCCAGTCGTTCCTTCCTACTTTGCCAAAGGTGGCTAAAAATGTTTTCCCTAGCCTGTATATCCTCTCGATATCACTCCCCGCCTTTTCAACCCACTTATTATGTTCCAGACAGCTACCGTCTTCTCCTGGCCATTCCATGCCTCAAACATCTCCCCGTATCTTTCTTAAACTTTGCCTAGCTCAGTTACACTTCCCTCTCCTTCCTGTAAAACGGATATTCCGCAACTGCATGAACTCGGTCTTTGCACTCAGAGCCGCATTCACATTTGAACTTGTCGTCTTCATCGTCTACCTTCCGAAATCTTCGTCTACTTTCTCGAAGGCTAATGTAAGTGTGCTCCATTCCGAAGGGATACTGCCGTAAGTGATCGACTATCGGTTGACGAACGCACACAGAGTGAGTACCCCCTTCTCCCCGAGGCACAAACTCACTCCGCCAGCAACGCACACAAGACGACACTCACTCACCTTCTGCCCACCATACCCACGTCTCGAGTCGTGAACCGGAGATATATACTTGTTGTTTGGTCATGGGAAATAGACACAAGTGGGTATACCCACCCCTTTCTCGGACTCAAGTGGGTACTCGAAAATCCAGCGCGCGCGCACTCCATAGGCGACCCCCAAACGACTCAAAACCCTATTCTGACACCTGGGCGACACAGCCAGGGACCATACACAGCACGGGCATCGTTTTCCCCCCACTTTTAGGCACACCTTTGGCCCTAATACCGCCGACGCGCGCAAGGCCTCACCAGAGTGCCCAGTTATGTCCGACATCGCGGTGGGTATACCCACCGGCGTCAACTAATTTTTTCATGTACCCACTTGTGTCTGTATTTTGACCCACTTTTGTCCAAAGTGTATCCACTTTTGTCCACTTACGGACGGCGGAAATCGAGCGGAAATCGACCTCCACGTCACCGCACGGCAGAACATCGAATAGCCTCGGAACGTCTCAGAACCTCCCAACACCGTATCCATGGCATATTTCCTATCCATGGCTGCCGACTGCGGACCGACCAGGGAACATGTCACAAACATGCCAGACCCCTTCGGTACCGGCACGGGAAGATACCCGCGGGAAGCCTACTGTTGTTGCCGTGACGAGTCGGTGTGCACTCGCCGTGGTGGTTGGTGTTTTTGTGTGTGTGTTGTTGCTGTTTGCGCGTCTTTTTGTTCTGTATGCGCGACCCGTTGGTTGTGTTGTCCGTTGTGTGTCACGCATTTATTTGTGGCGTGCCGTTAGTGCGCTGCTTGCCGGGCTTGCCGCGGGTATCTTCCCGTGCCTGGTATCTTCCCGTGCCGGTACCGAAGGGGTCTGGCATGTTTGTGACATGTTCCTCCGTGGTCGGTCCGCAGTCGGCAGCCATGGATAGGAAATATGCCATGGATTCGGTGTTGGGAGGTTCTGAGACGTTCCGAGGCTATTCGATGTTCTGCCGTGCGGTGACGTGGAGGTCGATTTCCGCTCGATTTCCGCCGTCCGTAAGTGGACAAAAGTGGGTACAATTTGGACAAAAGTGGGTCAAAATACAGACACAAGTGGGTACATGAAAAAATTAGTTGACGCCGGTGGGTATACCCACCGCGATGTCGGACATAACTGGGCACTCTGGTGAGGCCTTGCGCGCGTCGGCGGTATTAGGGCCAAAGGTGTGCCTAAAAGTGGGGAAAAAACGATGCCCGTGCTGTGTATGGTCCCTTACTGTGTCGCCCAGGTGTCAGAATGGGGTTTTGAGTCGTTTGGGGGTCGCCTATGGAGTGCGCGCGCGCTGGATTTTCGAGTACCCACTTGAGTCCGAGAAAGGGGTGGGTATACCCACTTGTGTCTATTTCCCTTTTATCATTGTTGTCTTGTGGATGGTCCACCCAAAAGCCTGATCGATGTTCCCCCATCCCACCCACCTCCGTTGGGCAGGTTTCAACAGATGAAGTCGACAAAGATTCCCCATTTTGTCCGGTCGATCCCCTCCTGCTTTATATGTACACGACGCACGACCGTGGTGTATAGGCACCCAAAAACGTAGTCATTTTTTCCCTCTTCTCTCTCGCCCCTCCTTGTTGCCTTCCCACCCCATGCATGTTGCCCACGATTTTGATGACGTACAGCTTCGTTCACCGTGCCCCGTCTCTGTGGTCCCCACTGCCGTTCCCATTTGTCCGCATTTTAGCCCGACCAAGAGCCGCGTCTACACGCCTTCGATCCCGGCTAGGCGTAGCCCCGTCGGAGGCAAGCGGTGACGGCGACTATTCCAGAGAACAAGAGCAACCCGAGGATGCGGCAGACGTTGACGTGGAGGGGTTGATGAGCTCGCTGGAGTCTTCTGATCTCTTTGGTGGGGGGGGGGGTGCGGGCGGCGAGGGCCAACGCGGGGGTGGGGGTGGGGCGGGGTTGGCGGCGGCAGCCAGTAAGGCCGTGGCGGACATCGAGGAGCCGGGAAAGCTGGTGCTGGAGGCGGCGAAGCCGTTCCGCGACGAGATGGACCGAATCCAGGCGGAGTTCCAGAGGAACGTGGCGGAAAAGGGGGAGGAGATGGACAAGAAGCTTGAAGACATGTTGAAAAACATCGACGGGGCCAAGTGATGGAAGATACAAAACAAAGCGAAACTTGTCTCGCGTGCGTGCTGATAGATTTAGAGAGGTCGATCCTAACGGTTGGGCACCTAAGATTGATGGTGTAGGCGATTCGTATCGAGTGGAATTTGAAAGAAAGTTGATGATATGATCGATATAGCAAAGATCGTGGGCGGAGGGGGCTAGAAGAGAGCTGGGAGCGAGAGGTGGCATTTTTCACGTCTTGTGAACGTGACCAATCAAAAGGGTCACGACCTCTAATAGAGGGTCACTTGTCCCCAATGTCTGTCGAAGACGATTCCCCCTTTTCATGTTGACGTCGCGTTGAGACGCCTGATTCTGGTGGAAGAGAACCCTCTTTCACAGCTGTAGTATTTTTCAAAACAAAGGCAGACAAAAGTCAATCGTTCGATAGTTGGGGGTCTTGTCTTGCGCGCCCTGAGTGAGGCGCCTCAGGCAACCCCTCTCTGAGACGCCTCTAGGCAAATAATACATACGCTCGCCTGATCGGCCAGGTACTTCTAGAAACTATTTAGAGTATTTCCTTCAAACAAAAATAAAAAAGGCATGCACACAATACTACTAAAGTTTTTATTTCGCGATGCGAAAGTTGTTATAGCGTCCTGCATGTGTTTTGTCTCGACGAGTGTGCGGAATCACACGGCTGGAACAAGGATGACGGATGCGTGCCTCTCACGACACCACCTTGTGTTAACATGCATTCCGACGTGCCGTCATCTCTAAACAGACAGACGCAGCAGACAACGACACCACACACACATCGCTGTACTGTAGCGACAGTGGTGCAGCCGCCGCATTCCCAAAAAGCGAGCGGTCTCCTTTCGGTGTCAGGAGGGTTGAAAACACCCAAATGCGTTATTATGTCCACGTACATATGCATGCATATGAATTTTCCCAAGTTCAAGCTTTGCCTTTCCTTTCGCTAACGTTTGGTGTGGCGAACAAACCGCCCCGTACTTGCGTAACCATCTCCTAGGCGTGTGACGCGGAAGGGGGGCAACCACGGCAGTGAAGACAACACAATAACACAACATTTTCGTCGCAGTTCAGGATACGACGCCTCGTTGACATTTACAGAAATTCAAGACACCAACACCAGGGGAAGAAAAATATAAAGATAAGATATTTTTGAACCACGAACCCCTCCCCGAATACCAAATTCTTCCCACCCGGGTTTGCCGAGAGCCTTCAAAATGCCCAGCGCTCACTCCTCCGCGCCTCTTTCTACAGCGCCGTATCAAAATTTTTACTTTTCATTATCAACATCGACCGGCCCATCCCCGCGTTCCTAAACCAGGAATCACTGGCTTTCGCTTTGTCTCAGGACCTTATCTGTTGTCGTTTACGCTACATAACGACAACAGATACTATCGCAAGCGCCAGGGTATCACTGTCGACTAGGCGTACTGATCCCAACTGTGAGGTGACAGGAACGACTTCTATCTCACGTCCCGGGCAGCATTCGATCCATCTGTCATCGGCGATTACTGTCAATCCAACTCCTTTTATGTCCACAGCTGGAACCCAGGGCACGATCTGTCTTGCCGAAAGCAATGCTGAAAACAACACACTGCACCGCCCCATTCACCCGTTTCTTGGATAAATAAATAAATACCAAAAGGGGTCACAGTAAGACCCCTTCTCTAGGAAGTATGGGGGCGTAGGCCCCCAACTTCAGGGTATTTCCGCAAGGCATGGGCATGGGAATAGAAATCGCCGCCTCCCTGTCTTACCCTTCAAAGACGCTGTACGCTTGGCACGGTGCCAAAAAACAGAGAGGGCTCCTGCGTTAAGTTTGCAACCAATCAAAAGAAATTAAAAACACATAATACATCCGAAATAGACATTCATCACTAAAGGGGCTAACCAAGTTGCGCCGAAACAACGGCGCGTCCGTACTGCTCCATGTACGGCGTTTGTTTCCGTTCTAGTGTGTAAACGTGTTAAAAACGAGACCGTACCGACCAAATATTAGTGGGCGTCTTTAACCGTATAGACAGTATATGCAAGTCACAACATCGAAGAGAGCAAGAAAACACACATTTCCCAACACAACACACGAGTCAACGGCATCCCAGTAAAACCCACCACATCACTCGAAACAACAAATAAACACCGAGCAAGGGACAAAAAGGAGCTGGCGAATCATGCGCCAAGAACAACCAGCGCGCAGCCTTAAAAAGAACATTCGACTAATTTCACCACCAGGGAATAAAAGACAAGGGAACAATATGGCATCATTTGCGCGAGCCACCGTCAGTCAGCCGGACCGCGCAGGACGAAAACTTCGGCCAATGAGCAGTCGCACTTAGTGCATGCAGTCCACGTCCCTGGATGGATCAACGCAGCTGCAGAAAGCCGCGTCCAAATCGTAGCTCTGTGAGAAGTGAACAAGGACAGGCAGGGTCGGGCACAGGGTTTGGGTGGGAATTGGTAAGTCATGCCGCTAGTATCGGGTATGTGCAGAAACACCGGCCAACGTGCTTGCGTTGAAGGCGTGCAGCTCCTTTTTACACCCCCAACAACCCGATCCACAAGAATTCCGAAACCAATGAAAGGGCGTACAAAGACTATAATAGAAGATCGCAACGGACGATGTTACGCACCTTCAGGATGGTGTCAAGGCCGAGGGCGTTCGCCTCGTCGCAGACGGACTTGCCCAAGTTGTACTCGACGTTGAACACGGGCTTGCCCTCTGCAAGGAAGGTATCCTCGTAAACAACGCACTCGTTCCACTCGTGGCACTCCTCGTTCAGCGCGAAGTCGAACTTGTTGACGAGGATTGGGACCAACTCCACCGCGTTCTTAAGACCTAGTGGCGGTGAAGAGAGAGGGGACAAGGGCAGTGTTGAGAGACACATAACAAGTAACGCCCAGTTTCAGGTCCGAACGGTTTAATACGTGCACTACTCGGCCGGGCGGGCATGGATGCGGTGTGACTACAGTAGTGTATGCCAATGTGGGCGAATGTGACATGTGCAGAACGCATGTGCAGGCCCTGCGTGCAGGACGGCGCACAAAAAAACAAGAAACCAATAAAGATACCCGTCCAGCACTGGAACATCCAACCGCTTGCGAAGACAAGACTTACCGACCCCCATGCCGTACGCGTGAACGATGTCAGCGAACCAGGAGTTGTACTCGATCTGTTGCGGTTCGGACACACTGACGCCAGTCGAGGAACCCTCGATGTAAACCATCATGTTGTCAGGTTCCTGAGCAACAATTGAAAGAACGGGACGGAAGAGGGTGTTTGGATGGTGGGTCAGTTTGGTTTAGCAACGTGACATGAATGCGTTTCAAGTCGCACTTCGCCCCGTGCGACCCGGGCTGGGATGCGTCAAGAAAACATACAGAAAGGCGAAAAACTGACGCCCAGAATATATGGGAACGGCAAAGTCTAGACTGCTGTACTGCGTATACGATGAAACAAAAACGACTAGACTACAGTACACGTCAGCACAAAACGTAGCAGTCTACCCTATGTGCGCATGCCGGCATCTCTTTCGCAAAACGAAACGACCGCCACAAGTCCCACGTTTTGACGGGAGCGAGAACCCATTTTTCGTATCCTCGACACTGCAAAACCGGAAAAAGACGCCATTTGAACGTGGTCCCAGGTCGAACGAACGACCATTACTTGTACTCACCACAGCGTCGCAGTTCATGCTGGACGCCATCTCCACTCGCGCGGTCATGATCTCACGAACATCCTCGTCGTTCACGTCGACCCACTTTTCGCCCGCCCATCCGGAGACGTCCCCACCGATCGCCGAGGACGGGAATTCCTTCGCGTCGTCACGCCAGTCCTCGACCGTGCCGATGGAGATGTAGCAAACCACGCCTTTGCCCTTGCCGTGTAGCTCGTCGATGACGGCCTGGCCGGCGTCTGAGGGCAAGAGGTAACGGGGTGATTGTTGCACAAAACGAGTTCTTGAGTGTATGGTAAAAAATGAACGCACATGTCGTCGAGTGTCTCCTGTGTACACGACTCTCGATCTCATGCAACAAGCCCAAAACCGGCAACCTTTTGCAAGAACTGATGAACCAAGACATGGCGTACGAGGTCATCGCGTCGGGAGACTTGAGCACAACGGGTAGGGAGGGCGAAAACTGCGCACTGCGGCCTTGAAAAAGCACATGGTACAAGACACAAATCAACGGTCTACCCAACCCAAGGAATGCGTACGAAGCTCGAGGTAACAAGACCACCACAGCAGTAACCCTGACAATCTTATCCCAAAGGCTTAAGTTGACGGACGGATACGGCCGCTGCTGCTGCACTGATGCTCTCAATTCAAAAAGGCACACATTGATTTCGACTGCTGCTGCGAAGCACCCCACGTACCCATGTCGATGAAGAAGACGTCGACGTCCGCGGATGTGTCGACGGGTGTCACCAAATTGTAGTTCCAGCTGTTGTCGCGTGAGAAGGTGAACCCTCCGCCGGAACCGGGTTCGGGCGACCCAGGCGCTTCTGTTGGGGTCGGCGCTGGCTCAGACATCGACTCGGGTGATGGTGTTGGCTCTGGCTGAGGCTCGGGCTCGGGCGTAGGTGACGGTTCAGGGGACGGTGTGGAGTCGTCACTTTCGTCTTGAGATAAGTCATCGCTGCTGGTGGTGGTGGTGCTCTGCTCGCACGTCGTCAGCTGGGTGACGAGCGACGCGATCTCGTCGTCTTTGGCGCCGTACTCGGTGGAGAGCAGCATGACCTCCTCTTGCAGCTGAGAGACGAGCGACAGGAGGTTGTCGAAGTTCGTAGCTGCCCGCGCAAGGCGCGGCGCGGCGGTTGCCGCGAGGCAGACCGAGGCAATGTGGAAGAACTTCATTGCGTATGGGGTTGGGTAGGCTGCGTGCTGTAGGTCGAGGAAGGACTGGCTGAGGGAGGAAGCAGTGGGGAGAGTGGATGGTGTGAGAGGAAGTGGGGGAGGAGGATAGTGGTGGTTGTGGTGGCGAGAGGTGCGTTGAGCGGATACACGAAACAATTCCGAAAGATCCTGTTTTTGGTCGTTTAGATTTTTTGTCCGGTAGTTCTCACCACCCCCCCGTGTCCCGGAAGTTTCTCCGCGATTCCTCGTGGTGTCAACGCGCCGCTCGCTGTTGGAGACCTCCATTACGGTCCTGCTGTAATGTGCCATGTTTTATCTCAGTTTGCTGCAGCCGGTGTAGTCAGCACTTTCCACACACATACGCATTTGTGATGCGCCACAAAACTAAAGTTTGAAAAGTGGAACGCTGCAGCAGCAGCAAATAAACATGTTTCAGTTGCTGGAAAGAATGGCCGGCAAGCTGTTGTCTTTTCATCAACAGCTCTTAACTCCGCACTTGTAAACAGTCAGTTTTTTCGGATCTTTTACCGTTGCAGGAACAAAAGATATACCCCGCGGCGTCCATTCCTTCGTGTTTGGTTAGAGTTTGACATTGAATTTCAATTCGTCATTGTTCTGTTGTCTGTTGGGAATGTTCTTTTGTCGGTTGCGTTTTCTAAAAAAAGCGCGTATACGGCAGCAGTTGTAGGTAGCGCCGGATTTTGTCTGTCTGTTGTGTCCACAAGTGTGTGTATCGCGGCGGCAGTAGTGTCGGGTTTTGTCTGTTGTGTCCACAAGCAGCATGTGTATCGCTGCGGCAGTAGTGCCAGATGGAGGCCGGCCCGGCGGTTTTGCCGCACATGTGCAAATATATGCGCCTATGTAGTCTACATGTATGTGTTGCCACAACCTAGTCTACATAGGTTTTGCACCTACATACTTGTACAGCAGTAGGCATCCAGTAACATCAACAGATTTTCAGTGTTTGCCTCAATACTCCGTGCATAAATTCGGAGTACATCAGCAACAACAGCGAGAGCTCATGACACGCTCACGGGTTTGTGTTTGCCAACCATTACAGCAATACATTCACAAAGCGGCTGGCTCTCTCTGTCCAATTTTGGCCCGGCGACTGCATGCCAGACTACGTACATACATACATCCGGTAGTTGGTCTAACGCACAAAAACACGTTGCATATCATCTTGCTGCAGCGAGACTGCATATTCTATCTATCTATACTCTACAGCACAGCATTTTTTGTTGGCGGTGGGATGCCACGGAAGGGCTGTGGACGTGCCAGCCCCATCTACACATACATGCACTCGCATACCACAGCAGTACTAAACTTGTGTCTGCCTCCTCCTCTCCACCACCGCCGCCACCACCACATCTTCCAACCGCAGGTTTCCCACTGTTCAACTTGCCACCCGCCTCGCGTCAGGTTTTATTTGTCCACCTTCCTTGCACTCTTCTTGCCGCCCGTTGCACCACCCTTACCGCCGGCCCTCCCAGTTGTACCCTTGCCTTCTTTGGGCATCATAAACTTGAGCGGGACGACAGGGTCGGGGTAGACACTCGTCGGTACCGAGTGTACTTCCCTCAGTGTTGCCGTGATTCCCCCGGCAGACTGCTTGTGTTTCGGTTGCCCAACAGCGGGCGCGACATCACGTTGGAAGGGCCAGGAACAGGGGGGGGGTGGGGGGGAGTTGTACTCCCAGTCGTGGATGCCTGTAGTCGTTAGACCATTGACCTCGCATCCCCATGTACAAAGCCGGGACGGAGAACGCCGGGTTTTCCCCGGACCAGGTTTTCACTTCAAAAAGGGGGCAGGGGGGGGGGGGGGGGTGTACTCATAGTCGTGCATGCCGTAGTCGTTTGACCATTGACCTCGCATCCCTACAAAGCCGGGACGGAGCACGCCGGGTTCTCACCGGACCAGGCTCTCACATCACCAAGCGCGAAGCGCCGTGAGGTATTTGGCGAGTCGCATGAAGGGTGAGCTGCATCCTGCTAAGGGTGTTCGGCATCTTGTGCTTACTTCCTTGCGTACGGATGACAGCTACGTATGACTTAATTTATTTTCTGGTGCTTTCACTTCCAGGGACAGTTATAAGCACTGTGTAACTGCCTCGAGGAAGCTTGACCATTTTCACACAACGTGGTACGATCATCCCCCGTTGCGCGGAGTGAGGTTTCTCGACCCCGCACAACATGATCTACTCGACCACCATTATGGTTACCGCCAAAAAAAAAACGAGGTAAAAAAAAAAAAACGGTAACCTGGTTGCCGAGTTCACGAAGTGAATTGGCTTGTTTTACAACGTCGTTGCCAAGCGACGAAAACCCAACCCCGATGACAAACACCGGGGGGGGCAGGGGGGGGGGGGGGGGTCAGGGCCTGCAAGGGAAAGGGGGGGGGGTTTTTCCCAGGGAGGAGCTGCCCCATGAACAAACTCCTGGGGAGGTTGAACGGGAGCTGTGTGGCGGAGTGATGGGGCGGGGAGAGGCCTAGCTGAGTCCCGCGCACCAAAGCTTGCGACACGAAACGGTTCGGTATCGCCATTTTGGGCTACGCACGGATTATGACCACAGACAGGCAGCTTACGTGGTATCGTACGCCCATGTAATGGACTGCATTTTCCAGTTTTATCGCGCCCACCGTTGCCGTGCGAATCGCGGCGTTGCCCTTACTTATCAATCAGCACGCCTAAACCTGTAAGCGCTCTCAGGCCATCGACGCATAAAGAATGTGACCCCAAACCTACACCTGCTGTCGACGTACTCGGTAAAGTATACACAAGAAATCTAAGTACCGGGGCACGGGTCGACCGACATCGTCAAGATGTCAAGGTGATAACAGCCTAAAGCGTACGGGTACCTGGAGAGCTTCCGTTGTTAGCATGGCTAGTTCCGGCAACCAGTGTCGCACGTAGTCGCCGTCGGCATCGTACGTCCTCGCCTGCTTTTCGACCTGATTGGTTCAGGTTTGTTGGAGGAGACCCATCCATGCGGACGGACGGGGAAATAAGTGTTTTTGAGGGGTTTCCCCCTCACGACTGTTGGGTATGAACGTCGACTAAGACGTAGCAATGCTGAGCCACGTTTCTTTGTGCCGAAATTGCGGTGTTCCTCCGGCCCGAATGTACTTGAGACACCCATCATGTTCAAAGTTCACATGCATGGCTGGGTTGAGCGGTACACCCGAAGACAACCGAGGTGTTAGACCAAAAGCGAGATTCTCCTGGACAGGCCATAAACAGGTCGTCCCGGCCGAGAATTTGCGAGAACGGTACGACATAGAGAGAAAAATAGCACCGCATAGAGTGCAGCGAGAGAGGCGGGAGGCAAGCCCACGAATTTGTTGGGTATGCACGGCAAGGTACGGCAGAAGACAAACGTAAAATGTATCACTATTCTCAGCTCACGCTAAAATAGCGATCCTCTCGAGGATCGAAGCCAACGCCGGCCACGTAGTTCCAGTTTCCGTAGTTGGACGCCGGGTCGTAGTCCAAGAGGTACTCTTCGAAGTGCTCCGCCCCTAGCCTCCAGTCCATCTCGAGATCCTTCGTGAAAAAACTCGCCACCACCTGTCGCCCCCTTCCGGTAGGGATTTCGTGGGCGGCACGGTTGTGGTACGGTACAAACGAACACTATGTACTAATATAATAGTGATGATAGCCGTTCTCGAGGGTCTACACAAGTCTAGACTTGGAAATGATGGGGTCAATCAGCCAATCTTATTCCGCGAGCAATCTCCTGACGTTGTAAGATGAGCGCTTCCACACCGGGCTTCATGCCCTCCGACCACGATCTCGCTTTGGTTTCTCTCCTTCAAAAGCACAACGGGGCGAAAGTGTTTTAGATGCCTGGTCGGCGCTCCTGATGTTACTGCCGCTTTCGTGTCTTTTCGCAAAGCCCATGGGAAACCGTTGCTCGGAGGCTCAGAGAGTTGTCTAGCAACGCCTACGGAAGCGGTCAAATCGCCTCGGCGAAAGCCGCAAAACAAGGGACACAAAAGATCCCCACCTGTTGGACATAAACCCGGAGGCCTTGAGCTCCCGCATGTTGGCGTCGACGAACGGGTACCCAGTCCTGCCCTCCTTCCAAGCCGCCAAGAGGCCAGCGTCGTCCCGCCAAGTCTGCCTGTCGGAGTCGCGTCGCGAGCCACCCAGGTGGAAGATGGCATTGCCGTACTTGACGGCGCTGTAGCGAAAGAAGTCCCTCACGAGGAGCTCGAAGATGAGCCAGTAGGTGGAGTCGTTCGCGATTCGGTCCGTCTCGTACTTCCTGATCTATGGAAGAGAGAGGCGCCGTGAAGACAAGCGGGGCGGATGCGCTCGAAAAATGAGGGGGGTCTGCTGCTGTCAACTGCTGAGCTGAGCGCTGAACGCAGGCATGCGTTTCTTCGTGGTTGACTGCTCTTCAATCTCCAGCTATTCCCGTGGGTACCTACATACATACGCCGCCAGTTGCAGAATTAGGAGCATCTCGTGCAGTCAACTGCCGCCACCCCTCCCTCCAAAAAAACCTAGCTCACACGAGTCGCCGGGTGTCTCAAGAAAGTAAACCCCGTGCAAGGGAAAAACAACAGCCCGAGCGCTACGTAATAGGGCAACACACCGTCCACTACCGACCCTGACCTCCTTGACGATCGTCCTGGGGGAGAGGCACCCAAGGGCCAGCCACGGCGAGAACTTGGACGAGAAGCCGCCCCCGAGCAGGCCGTTGCGGGTCACCTTGTACTCGCGCAGGTGATCCTCCTCCCAGATATACGTTTGGACGCGCCTGAGCCCCGCCGTCTCGCCCCCGATAAAGTGAAGCACGGACCTGGCGTCTCGCTCGGGCGCCGTGCCGAGGCCCAGCTCTTCCGTCGTGGGGATCGCTACGGTTAGGGTTGGGGTGACGGCGTTGTCGTGCAGGCCCGCGGGAAGGGGGCGGAAAGGGCTTGGCAGGGGCACCGGCGATCGTATCTTGCAATTTGGCTCCACGGCTTTCCGAAACTGCGTGCATTGGGACACGAAAGCATCGGTCAGAGGTGTGAGGGAGGAGGGGAGGATGAGGCAAGCCAGCCGGTGGGTGACTTCGATGGTCAGGTCTGTATGGGGCCGGAGGCAAATCGCCAGTTTTTTGTCGCATATTTTCACACCGAACGAATACACCAACAAGGAGCAATTCTGAACACATTGTAGATGATACCGTAGAGTATGCCCTACAGTAGGATTGCACACATATGAGGGGGCTTGATTGGGGAGCAACACATCAATCTGCTCGAATATTACGTGCACAACAGTTGAACACGTCACACCTCGTCCCATCTCGCAAAGACCCCAACAATGGCCTCATTGGATCCAACTCACCGGCGTAAATACCTCCGGCAAGCCGTTCGGAAAATCGTACGGCAGGTCGGAAGGATCGTGCAACGTGTTGCCCCACACCTCCGTCACGGACACACCAGTTGCATCGCCACCAACACCGCCCGCAGACCCTACCAGTGACAACGCCGACTTGACGGCCGCGTGCACGTCGTTCTCCTCGGAACAAAGGTCGGGGTGAGCGTAGACGGTCACCGCTGAAGCCCCGCTTCCCAGCCTTGCGGCGACGGCCGGGATGGCGTTCTCGGGGTGCCCACGCCGTATCAACAGGTCGGACCCTTTCGCTCTAAGGCGGGTTTGCAGGTCGGCGACGCTTTCGAGGAGGAAGCGGCAGCGCGCCGCGGACATCCTTCGCGTTCCACGCCTGTGTTTGCCGACAATGTGGCGCGGTGAAGCCGGTGGGTGGGGAAGGCATGTCCTAGGTCGGTTATACTAACGAAACGGCCAAAGATTGACGGCGAGGCATGTGAATTAGTTCTTCTGTAGTTGTATCATTACATCCGGAAGTATGTCAGATTACAAGATAAAATTAGACCATCTGACCAGTCAACCGTTGACTGGTCAACCGTTGACTGGTCAGATGGTCTAACTTTATCTAATACATGTGGCGATCATTTGCATACAGGCTGTACTTTCAGAGGTGATCACACCATCCTACCATGAACCACCATGAACGTAGTAAGTAGTGGCCCACCGGCCGTTTGCATGCCTGAGTCCACTCCGCCTCCTACTCTGTATCTCCACGCCCATCCAAGGATCGAGGAAAAGGCTTGCTACATTTATCAGCTGATACTACATAACCCATGGTATGCAGATGTACATCCGCACTTTATGTTGCCTACATGCGCCTATGCGTTGAGTCCGCTTCTTGTTGTAGGGTGTACAGAGCAAAAAATCAAGCTCAGAGAAAGGAAGAAGAGAGACATGTTTCCGTAACGGATGTGCGTGCTTGCTTCTACCTCTCTACCAAGAAACACAATGTGCACGAGTCACCGCCAACACACACTGCACCATTATTTTGATCAACTTGGCAAGTGGTAGAACTGAGATATTCCTCCCTGGAGTTCTGTGCTCGACTCGACTCGCTCTCGAGGCGCCACTGAGGCGCCCGCGGATCGCCGAGACGCCTCACCTGCTGTGCCCAAACCATCGATCGTCGATGCAGAAAACGTGAGCTACGTGCGAGCTGTTCCTGTGAGCCAAGGCAAGAGGCTCGTGATCTTCCAACCGCAGGTCTGTGCACTTGAACCACACAACCCCAATGGTATCACCTCGGGCGATACCACTAGCACCACCAGCGGTCAAGCTAGTTGCCACCATACTCGCCATGACAGCACCTTTGGCTCTCGACCCGTCGAACCAATTGGCCCCGCCGGCTGCGCCGTTTGTACCGGAGTTTTTTTTTGTAGCTTGGGAAGCGGTGCCACCAGCCAAAGCGAAATATGGTTGGTAGCACTTCTCCCCCTACTACTCTGTGTGCAAAGCGCAGGTAGACTCTGCGGGAACACACGCGTGGTTCTGCCGGTGTCTCTGTGTCTCTGCTCTTGCTGAGGCTACTACAATTAGCAAGTGCTGTGCAATTGCGCCGCATAATGCGGCGGAATATGCGGACAGTCCCGTCGGCGCAGTATAAGCGGCGCTTATACTGCGCCGACATAAGCGGCGTCACACGTCAACACGTCACACGTCACACCGTCACGCCCTCTCTCCTCTTTCCAAACAGCCACCCAGCCTCCCCTCCACTCTCGCTTTCCTTTTGGTCAATGCTACTGTAGTTTGTCGTGGAACAAGGCTACTCCGTGGCCATGACTACAATGAATGCAGGTCTCTCGGTACTTTGGCGATGATTACGTAGGATACAGCAGACTCCAAAAAAACAAGAACATCCCGTTCGACTACTCCTGTAGTTGTTGTGGTTATATCTCAAACAGGTACTTGTAGTCTTTCCTAATAATACAAATATATATCATAGAAACTTTGCTGTCTGCTGTCCAACAGTAGGAATTGGACAGAGGATCGAGTTCTCTGAAGAACGTGTGGTTCACTTGCCAAATGTTTCATGAAGAAAAGGACCTCACCGTGTTCCTTTGGAGTTCCTGCAGTATGACGCCCGCAAAGTCCGTCATCATGTCGCTACATATACAGCACACATCTGCACATCCGCCGTCAGATCGGTGTTCTACTGCAGTGTATGAGGCTGACAAAAGAATGTACCAGTCAATTTTGCTCATAGATTGCCGTGTGCCCACGGCTGCTTCCCCAATTGATTGTTTTTACCCATTTTTTTGCTGAATGAAGTTCTCGTAGTCTATTCGAACAACAACAACGCCGGCACTGCGTACAGGAGTAACAACAGCAGTAGTAGTAGTAATAGTAGTAGTAGTAGTAGTAGTAGTAGTAGTAGTAGTAGTTGCTGCAGTAGTAATAGTAGTAGAGTGAGTGTGGTATATATAATGAAAAAGAAGAAATCATTCATTCATCATTCATCCACCACGCACGCACGTCGAAAGGACAAGAAGTAAGTAAGGACATATAATATTGCGGGAAGCAAGCCCGAAGCCCGCGAATAAAACCTGGGAAAAGGAACGCACGCACGCAAGCGTGGTGCGAAAAAACAACAGATAAATATCTCCGAACCAACCGCAAAAAAAAGACAAAAAGAAAAATGGGCAAATGGAAAAAACGAGTTGCTTGCTGCATGAAAAGAACCCCCTAAAAATCAGAATCAATCGTAAAGAAAGGAAGACGATAACAACAACAGAACAGCTAATAAGGGAAACGTACATACTACAAAGGAATAGGACCACGCCGTAAAGAAGGGGAGGCAGCTATATAAGACGGCTGGTAAACAAACCGGGAAAAAAGCGCGCACGCACGGACGCACGCGTGGCGCGGAGTGTAAAAAAAAAAATCCGAACCGATAATTAATAAGAAAGGCCGTATGAACATTGTATGTGTATGGCGTGGCATAGGGTGGGGGGTGCTAAAAAACATTACTACACCAACCAGCAAAAAATATCCTACTACAAAATTGTAGTCGAAATGCAAAAAAAGCAACAGATGATGAGTCGTCATCAAGACGACCTAGCGCGCTTTGCCGGCGACCTGTGGAGCTTCTTGCTCTCCCGTTTCTGTATGATGGCGGGCTGGCACGACTGCAGGTTGTTCGTGCGGTGGAGCAGGAAGCACGACGGGTGGTTTTCTCGTCCTTACTACTTTCGGCGCTGAAGAAGTTGCGGGTTATTTCCTTGTCGTTCCTGCCTGCCACAAATTGTCCTGACTTTCTTCTTTGGGGCCATTGCAAGGGAAAGAGACACGGTCGACGCGGCACACCATAATATGTCGTGATATGGATGTGCTGGGCGGTGACATACAAACAAACACGATCGATCGTGCGAAATTTGCGTAACGTTTTCTTTGTTCGCGTGCCCCCTCACATGTTGGTTGGGGTTGTTTCGCTCCTTGCTGACACCAGCGTGTCGACACCCCAGTGTCAGTCAGTGTGTGTGAGCACACAGCAGTGTGGGAGCACACAGCACACACAGCTGTACATAGTGTGCAATGTTACACCCCAAAGCACAGCAAAGCACATAGCAACAGTGGACACAGTGGACACACGCAGCAGTAGTGTGGAATGTTGTGTCTGGGGCCGCTTGGGTGATGCTGCTGTTGTTTTGTCCGAAAAGAGGAAAAACGCGAGAAATGACGCTCTTCTTGTGCATGTTGGCGCAGAACAAAACGGTGAGTTTAGAACGCGTGACACACATGAAGGCCGTTGTTGGTGTTTCGCTCCTTGCTGACACCAGCGTGTCGACACCCCAGCACACAGCAGTCAGTGTGTGAGCACACAGCACACACAGCTGTACAATAGTAGTGTGCAATGTTGTTTGTTGTCTGGTGGCGGAGGCGCTGGGGTCGCTGCCATCATCGCGACAAGCTTTCATCCAGACCCACGCCTGCATACAGCAGTACTGCTGTGTTGCAGCGAGATTGCACGCTACATGGTGGGAGACAGCAGTCAGTGTAGGACGCACGACATCTTGTGGGAGCACATAACAGTGGGCACAGCGGTGGACACACGCAGCAGTAGTGGTGAATGTTGTGTCTGGGGCCGGTGCTGCTGTAGTTTTGTCCGAAAAGAGGGAAAAACGCGAGAAATGACGCTTTTGTGCATGTTGGCGCACCAAAACAGTGAGTTTAGAACGCTTGACATATATAAACGATTCCAATTCCCCGAGGCTCTATCAAGCACGTGAGAAGTGTGACATTTCTGACTTGATTCAACTATTGGACGTGATCACATGCTTTCAATTGTTAAATGTGTCGATTTCCAATACATGTTTCACTTGAATACAGTAGTATGGATCTCGATCAGTTTTTCGACTTGATTACAGAGTCGATTTCGATCAGTTTTTTTACTTGATTAATGTATGGATTTTTGTCAGTTTTTTTACTCGATCAAAGTATCGAAATTTCGGACAGGATTTCTTTATTGCTTTTTTCGGGATTGCGCTGGCTGACACCCCAATTTTGCAATTGGGGAACTACTGCTGTCGCTGTTTTTGTGTTGGATCTTGGGAATGCACCTTATGAGGGCGCGCATGTTAGACATATCATTTACGTGGGTCTTCAACAGCAGTTGCTATGCATCAAGCACCGAATACCCGAAACTATAAGCCTTATTAGTGGTACATGCACAAAAACACAAAACGTCCCCCCAAAGAACTATACTCTCACCACGACGCACTTGCGTCTTCCACTATAAAATAGCGAAAACCGTTTCAGATTCCATAAATCCACAAACCCCATCCAGCGGTCACGCGCAGCACTCGATACCACCGAAACCGACAGCACATTGCCTGGCGAACCCGAACATCCTTTTGGATGAGAAGACACGCAAAATGAGCAGAGCACTACATGTATCAGTAGCAATGGCCGCACGCGAAGCCTCTGGTGCTCACGGGCCAGCCCTGTCCTGTCCTGAGAACCTAGTACCGCACACTCAGGTCTGCAAGCGGGACGCCTTAAACTTCCTGCCGGAATTCCCCCCTTTCCCGCCGCCGCCCCTTTTCCCCCCTCCACCTCTGCCTCCCCCTCCGCGGCCACCCCGCCCACCGTCTCCCCCCCGACCACCGCCCCTTCCACCGCCTGCTTTGGAAAACTTGAGAGGGGCGATGGGGTCCGGATACACGCTAGTCGGGATGGCGTGCATGTGCCGCAGCATCGTTGTTATTCCGCCCGGAGTCTGTTGTTTTGTAGTTTTCCCAAGAGCGGCAGAAGCGCGGGAGTGCACAGAGACGAGGCAAGCACGACGCAAAGGTGGAAGGAAGAGATGAAGGAAGCAAGGTTGCGTTCAAGCAAGTCAAGAAAGAAACCACGATACATGCGTCCACCGACACTGGTCGTCCAAACTTTCTCCCCGCCCGGGAAAAAACGCAAACTTCTCGACGTTATTCTCGCACTTGAATTGCGTGGTCCGTTCCAACTTGGAGGGCAGGGCAGACACCGCACCATCTTCGGTATGCAAAGGATAAAATATTCCTGCTCATCCCAAGTTTTCCCTCCACCTATCAGCTCCACTCCAAGTCTCTGCCCTTTTCCTTTAGTGTGAACGCAATTTTTACCTGGAGGGCTGTGGTTGGGAGTGCGGCCAGTTCCGGTAGCCAGTGACGCATGTACGCGCCCTCTGCATCGTACGTCTTAGCCTGTTTTTCGATCTAATTCGTCCACGCACGTTTTCGGGAGATGCACAGAGGGAAGGTGCAGGGCGTGAGCTACGTAATCTGGCCAAGCTTTTACGCTCAAAGGAGTACTTGCCGCTCGAGCATTGACCCGAATCTTCGCGAGAAACGCAAACGTTCGGGAGAGGGAAAAACAACACAATACCAAAAATCAGAGAGAGTAACGAGGTGCCACAAAAGCACAAGACAAACACCTACGTTGAAATAGCGGCCCTCTCGAGGGTCGCTGCCTACGCCGGCCACGTAGTTCCAGTTTCCCCAGTTGGATGCCGGGTCGTGGTCCAAGAGGTACTCCTCGAAGTGCTCGGCCCCTAGCCTCCAGTCCATCTGCAAGTCTCTCGTGAAGAAGCTCGCCACCACCTGCCGCCCCCTAGAGAGGTCAACCGTGGCGCAGCAGAACGCGTGGGCAAGAGCTGCCACATGTTAAACTTATCATGGCGAAAGAGCACGTGGTTGGTGGCAAGGACAGACGAGAATGGGGAATGAACACAACACCGTTCGTGCGATGTGCGACGTGTCTTGCCGGACCATTGATACTTACCTGCAGAGTTCTCACGAGTTTCAAGTCGATTGAGTCGCACGCAACTCTAGACGAAAGGAACTCATATCGAATTGATTCCCCCGCGCCAAGTTCTCACAAACCCACCCCACCTGTTGGACATGAACCCGGAGGCCTTGAGCTCCCGCATGTTGGCGTCGATTAACGGATATCCGGTCTCCCCCTCCTTCCACGCCTCTAGGGAGCCGGCGTCGTCGAGCCATCTCTGCCTCCCGGTATCTCGCCGCGGGCCGCCCAGGTGGAAGATGGAATTGCCGTTCTTGACCGCGCTGTACCGGAAGAAGTCTCGCCACAGGAGCTCGAATATGAGCCAGTAGGTAGAGTCGTTCGCGATTCGGTCCGTCTCGTACTTCCTGATCTGTTCGACGGGAAGAACAACGAAAAAAACACCTGGGGTTCCGAGTGTTGTTTTTGTTAAGCATTCTTATTGTGTGAACAGACCCGCAGAGAGGCTGACGCTCGTGTGTACGCTGCTACGGGTCTGCCTGTCGAGGTATACGGCATGCGGCACGTTCGTTTCTGCCGCCGAAACAGTAGCAGTTCGGGCTGCCCACGCAAAAAAGGTGCCCTATGGGGGAAGTAAAGAGGGCTGGTGGGTTATCGGAGGCTTTCGCACACAGTGTTGTATGACGACAAAAAATGCACCACTCCCGCAGCGTTCTCCTTAAAACACCCCAAGGCACTCCCGTCACCCGTAGCTTTCAACTGCTCTCGACAGCCCTGCCTTCTGAGTTGTTACACGAGATCATTCCTGTTGTTCCGCTTCACCGTCAGTCCCTTCTTCTGTGGTTGCATTCAGTGCTTTCTCTCAGACTCGTAAAACACCCAGCGAGCCCGGGATGCGACCACAACGACGGGCACAACAGCAGGAGAAGCACCAAGCATCTCAAGCCCCCACTTCCCGTGTGAGCATCGTGGATCACTCCCGACAAAAGACATGAACTCAAAACGAAACAGCCCTGCACCAGGGTCCCCTGCGCGCTGGGCGAAAGTGCGCTCAAACAAAAAAGTTCAGCGACGCGTGACCCTGACCTCCTTGACGATCGTCCTGGGGGAGAGGCACCCAAGCGCCAGCCACGGCGAGAACTTGGACGAGAAGCCGCTCCCAAGCAGGCCGTTGCGGGTCACCTTGTACTCGCGCAGGCGGTCCTCATCCCAGATGTAACTTTGGACGCGCCTGAGCCCCGCCGTCTCGCCCCCGTTGAAGGGAAACACCGACCTGGCGTCTCGCTCGGGCGCCGTGCCGAGGCCCAGCTCTTCCGTCGTGGGGATCGCGCCGGGCGCTGACGCTTCGCCGTCGTCTTGGGTGGTGCCGGTGGGCACGGGGCGGAAAGGGCTTGGCAGGGGCACCGGTGGTCGCATCTTGCACGAGTACTTCGACTCCACCGACTTGCGGAACTGCGCGGCGTGCGCGGCGCAGATGGCATGATAGCGGAACGCAGCAAGAAAGGACGACGTCCCGACTTAGAAAACTTAGGTGAGAACGAGCGTGTTGGTGAATGATTCGCGTTGGTCGGGTGCGGCGAAGCTACATGATGAACGGGGGTCGAAAAGGGAGGTATGGCAGGGATTCTATGCTAAGCAACATGCCGAAAACGTGATTGCGGCGTGGCGGTCTTCCAACGCCGCGACTGATGTTGTTCTTTGTCGTTTGATATGCTGACGTCACTGATGCATACACGAAGACACTGGTGTGAGGGGATGCACTTCTGCCCAAAGGAAAAATCTTCAACGACGTCAAAGTTGGTGTTCACAGTCCCATGACTCGGCCGGGCGTTTCGAGCACAAGCAAGCGCGAAAGGCCGACAGCGACAGACTACAGCGTGAGATGCAAGTTTTCCGACAATGAAGCGAAAGAAGTATACACAACACGCGGTTGAAAAATGGGATGGAGAAGTAGTAGCTGGTGTAGATGCGGCACGAATATGCCGCCTCCTCCCCGAGTACTACTGGTTGGGGCTGCCCGTGACCTACGATATCTCTACTGGATCCAATGACCAGGCAGTATAGTCAGCAACAAAAGCTCTCCGTACACAAACGTCATACGGAATTGCCTGGTGCACGCCTCCGCCGCCGCACCTGCGTGAAAATTTCCGGGACGCCGCTCGGAAAGTCGAACGGCAGGTCGGCCACGTCGTGCAAGGTGTTGCCCCACGCCTCCTTCACCGCAACAGCGGCGCCACCGCCTCTACCGGCAGACGACGCTGCCGCCAGCGCCGACTTGACCGCCGCGTGCACGTCCGCCTCCTCGGAACAGACGTCGGTGTGCGCGAAGAGAGTAACCCCTGCCACCGAACCGCCCCCCAGCCTCGCGGCCAGCGCGGGGATGACATCTTCAGGGTGTCCCCGTCGCACCAGCAGATCGGACCCTCTCTCCCTGAGGCGGGCCCGCAGGTCGGCGACGCTCTCGAGGAGGAAGCGGCAGCGGGCTGCGGACATCTTGCTTGTCCCACGCCTACGGCAAATGTTTTGTCAGAGAAGTAGACAGGGGCCGCTCGTGTGTGGGGATATGTCACAATATTGTACTTGTTTACCGCTCGACGTTACGCAGTTGGGTATGTCCCCAGCGCGTCTACATGTATGACTGCATTGTTGGTCTGCTGTACCCATCACTGCTACACACGGCCAAATCCTTGGCTGACTGCATGCAGTGTGTGTGGTTTCATCCCAATTATTCTGGGCGCCAATCTACACTCCTTTTGGTATATTTTTGACGTGCGCCAGCCCGGGTAGTACAGCAGGGTAAAGCACTGCGGTTATATTCCATCTCTCTCAACGTTTTCCCTCAGCGTGCTAACCTTCAATTTTGACGCGAAAACGTCGTTTCGGCAGTTAATTCCTTCGTTTGATGTTTTCTCAAGATTCTGCGTTTTCCACGTCTAAACGCGTCTTGTTCGCTCCAGAGAGACCCGACCCCTTAACATAGACAGCAGTCAGTGGCTTACAAGGGTACCAATGGAACCACCAGGGCTGCATAGACATAAAATGCGCGTCAAATTTACAAATTTCAAATTTTCAACCTTACGCGTGTGAACGGCATGATTCACGAACGAACCAAGGGTCTGTGCGAAAAAAAAATCAAGACACATAGGCCTACTAATCGAAAATCGGGGTCATTTGGGGGTGGGTGGGTCATTTGTGGGGGGGGGCGGGGACATACACCCATGTATCCCCGGGTTTTCGGCCGAGGCGTCGGCGCTTCGGGTGTTAGAAAGGCTTACTCATTAGACTTCTCAGTCAGCCGCTGACTGAGTAGTAGACTACTCAGTCAACAGGCTTACCCTTTTAACATCGGGGTCATTTTTTTTTTTTTTGGGGGGGGGGACATGTACCCATGTATCCCCGGGTTTTCCGCCGAGGCATCGGCGCTTCAGGGGGGGGGGGGGGTGTACTCATAGTCGTGCATGCCGTAGTCGTTTGACCATTGACCTCGCATCCCTACAAAGCCGGGACGGAGCACGCCGGGTTCTCACCGGACCAGGCTCTCACATCACCAAGCGCGAAGCGCCGTGAGGTATTTGGCGAGTCGCATGAAGGGTGAGCTGCATCCTGCTAAGGGTGTTCGGCATCTTGTGCTTACTTCCTTGCGTACGGATGACAGCTACGTATGACTTAATTTATTTTCTGGTGCTTTTACTTCCAGAGACAGTTGTAAGCACTGTGTAACTGCCTCGAGGAAGCTTGACCATTTTAACACAACGTGGTGCGATCATCCCCCGTTGCGCGGAGTGAGGGTTTTCCACCCTGCACAACATGATCTACTCGACCACCATTATGGTTACCGCCAAAAAAAAAAAAACGAGGTAAAAAAAAAAACGGTAACCTGGTTGCCGAGTTCACGAAGTGAATTGGCTTGTTTTACAACGTCGTTGCCAAGCGACGAAAACCCAACCCCGATGGCAAACACCGAGTGGGGGGCTTGTTTTACAACGTCGTTGCCAAGCGACGAAAACCCAAACCCCGATGGCAAACACCGGGGAGGGGGGGGGGGGATATACCCTTGTATCCCCGGGTTTTCTGCCGAGGCGTCGGTGCTTCGGCGTCCCGTTCTCGCATGGTGTGCATCACCGCTGGCGCTGCTGACTCTCTCTGTGGAGCTGTGGAGACCCCCGAGAGATGGCAGACACCCCGCACATTACAGGGTCATCATCGCAATCTTCGCATGCATACATACCCCAGGGGCAGCCGCTAAAGCCCACCAGTTGCCCGTCCGTGTGGCCGATTGGTCAAGTCAAACGTAACCCTACAAGAAGACCAAGGCTACGAGTAGATTTGCGAGACCATGTTCCCTGTTGTGCAGTTCTATAGATAGAGGAGGCGGCAAGGGCAAGTTTGCAAGGCAGGTGGTTCAATGTGAAAGCTGGTCAATGACCTGTTCCAATTGAATGGACTGATCTCGAGCTTTTTGATCCATACTACTATTTATTACTACTTTGTTGCTGTGCTGTACTGTAACTACTGTACTTTCTTCGTACTAAATACTTGTTGTACGCGAACTAGCGAACTACCGTATATGACACAAGATAACACACCCCCTTGACCGATTTTCAAAGCTCGATTTCTCAACAGCAGGAAGAGTCACAGCGCCGAAAACGGCGGCGTTGGAACCGTCTCGTCGAGAGCTGTTCGAAAACGTATTGTTTCATTTATGCACCTTCTTCGTCGTGGAGTAATCGAGCTTTGAAAATCGGTCCAGGGGGTGTGTTATCTTGTGTCATATACGGTAGGCTGCTTGTCCGATTGTTCCTGTAGTACACGACTGGGTGATGAGTCTGGGCCGGCATCGATGCCGAGGAGGTAGATGATGCAGAACGGGTAACGAGAGTGAGGCGCGTTTACCATTATCCATCTACTGCAACCTCATGGTAATTTTTCGGCGATTCATGGTAACTTTTCGAATTTCTTCCTCCTCCGAAGGGGGGGTGGCCTATGTGTCCAGATTTTTTTTTCGCACAGACCTGTGTTACAGTGGGCGCATCAACCTCGTTGCGCTCTTAGTGGAGACGCACGTGAAATGTGTAAAGCAGGCTAGAGAGACGCAAAAACATACATTTCGTGACCCTTGATCGTAGTCTATATCGGTGATCGTTGTCTGCGAGAAAGATCGTGTATGCTCACCTGGTCTGCCCAAACCATCGATCGTCGATGCAGAAAACGTGCGCTACTTGCGCGCTTTCTCGATGAGCCAGGGCTAGAGGCTCGTGATCTTCCAGACGTAGGTCAGAGTATTTGAACCAAACGATTCCAGCGGCACCTTTTAGAGCAGCAGCACTACCACCAGCAGCGGTACCACCTGCCGACATCATGCTCGCCATCATCGCACCATGCAGCGTTCTCCACGAACTATAGCTCTGGTTGTGGTGATATCGAGGATATCCCACGATTGTGATTCCGGCAAAGAAAGATTGTGAGGCCGGCAGCAAACAAAAGAGAGTCGCCACGGCCGTGGGTCTCCGAAAATGTAGAAGCATTCAATGGCTCTGTCGGGTGGTGTGCGTCGTCTCTCGTATTGGAGAAAGCAGCAGCGCAACGAGAGAGGGTAGAAATGCCATGAGATGACGAGATGCTGAGATGCTGAGTCATGCGCCGCATCTGACAGTCCCGTGCCTCAAGTTTTCCTCTCGAGATCTCTGCGTCTCTGCCTCACACACACCAAACCCAGCCGCGTCAATCTCCGTCTTGCAGTCGCTGGAGCCTTATGGGGAAAGCTTGTGTCTTTATTATGGCCGTTGTGGGCAGCTGTGCCATGGGTGTCACGTCCTGCTTCGTGATTTTCACACCTGGACAATCATGTCCCTCTGTCGCCGCGAGTTCCCCCGCTGTCGCTGTTCGCGCCACAACCTGCAAGCGACATCATCATCACCTTCAGGCGAAAAAGAAAAAGTCCGACCGTGGCAGACCCTCGCTAGACGATGTAGAACGGCTGTCGAGAGGCCAGGCTGCAAAAAAACGGGGAACGGGGAGCCGAGGTGTCTGCCACCGTCTGAATGAGTCAGAACGAAAGGTAGGTAGGTATATTTGTCTGTCGATAACGACGCTGACAATGTATGCATCGCTCTCGTTTGCTCATGTTTAGTAGAAATGTGTCGAAGCACGTGCATGTTGAAGATCTTAATGTTATTCGAACTTGCTAAGTCGGGTCTATGTGTGGCTGAAGGATTGCCGCTAAAAGAATCAAGAATGATCCAAACTACTGATGCTGCTGCACATATATATGTGTACTGCGGTGTGTACTACTGTACGTCGTCAATCTACCCCCTTTTTAGGCGTACGATCTGGCCAAGAAACAAGGCTACGTCGTTCTAAGGGGCACGGGCTATCGGAGGGAGCGCAAGGGTAGCCCTCTTCAAAACATCTTCAGGCAGTTTTGCGACGCGAAAGCCATGCCTTGCACCAGCGTTTTAACGGTGAGCAGAATCAATCGCAGACGCTAGGGAGGCCCTCACCCATACCTCCAGAAATAACGGATTGGTTGGTGCTCTCGAAAACATCCGTGGTAGCGGCACAACCAACCGGTTCGGTCTTGTTCCTGTACTGAGGCCCTGCCCGTTGGAAGCAACGTCAGCACACTCCCGTACACATTTTGGGCGAGCTTTGAGGCAAACGCTGATGCCTAGACGCTGGCCTCCATGCCCGTTTGAGACGTGCCGAGTGAGCGGGCTGCTACAGAAAGACAACCAACCCGACCGTGGTCCGTTCGTGGACGGAACAACCACATAATACACCCCTCATCCAGATGCGACACAGGAATAAATACACGAGTGCCCTCCGTTCCTCGCTACCGCGACCTCAAAACCAAAAATGTAACGCCTATATTTTGTAAACAGGGCCAGGGGCCTGATGCCGTGGACGAGGTGGAGATCGATTTCTCTCCCCTTAGAACTTCTCGGGAAGTGATGGACTCTCTGTCCGAGCAAGCGGATGCAGTTGCCGCCGAACTCGAGGCGCCACGGGTAGAGTTGGAGTTGGAGTTGGCCGGAGGAGCGGAAGACGCCGGCGAGACGGTGAGATATTGTTGGTTGTTGTTGTCGTCGTTGTCGTTGTCGTCGTTGTCGTTGTCGTCGTTGTCGTTGTCGTCGTCGTTGCTGTCGTTGGTTGTTGTTGTTGTGGTCGATGTTGTCTTTGCATTTGCAATGGTAGCGGTGGCTCAGGGTCCACAAACGTGAGTGTATGGCCATCTTGTGGGCGAAAACCTAGTTGAACACATTTTGTAGGTTTTGGAGCAAGTGCAAGAGTACAGTCGTGGGCGTAAGGGCATCCGCATACATCGCAATGCGTAGAGAAGTTCAAATTGCTGCCGGAATCAGCACTCATGTCTAGGGGGCGTGGTTCGTGTCCAAGCGTATTATCGTACAATGCGGGAAGGTTGAATTGTTTCTCATGCCACGACGACACTCCCACAGACTGCCACCGCCGCCGCCGCTTTTGGGGGGGAAGCGGTGCAACGCGATCAAGATGATGCCGGAACGGAAAAGGCTATAGAAGACGAGGAACTAGTAGAAAGGTTGGAAGAAGAGGAAGAGTGGACAGGAGATCCGAACAACCGGCCGATATGGAAGTTCCCCGTGGTCTCCCGGGTAAGAAAGCCGGGGCCTCCGCCCTTTCTCGCCCCGAGACGCTCGCGTCCGCACGCACGTCCGCACGTGGCACTATCGGCGGAGGCTGAAAACAGCTATTCATGTATCCCTCTATTCGTTCTCGAGTCTCGCAGTCGATGGTTTTGGTAGCATGTTGTGTGGTAAGGCGAGGAGCAGAAGGCCTGCGCGCTGTGAACGAACAAGGAGCGCCTATCGCACCGCCTCTTCTTCTCCCGGGGACTTTAAAAGAAGTGTTGATGCACGTGGAGTTGACGCGTACGTATTGTGATGGAGAGGAGAACATCGTCCCCAAAGTGTCGTGCTGCCGTTATCGCCCAGGCGAGTACAGCCCTTTGTCGGCGAATAAACAACCAGGATGTGGACTCAATCAACATTCCGTTCACACCAAGCTATCTCTTCTCTCCTATAACAACGTAAAACTTGATGTGCTCAATCGCACCCATTCGTGTCTGCTGCAGGTGTATCGGTGCGACTCCCGAAAGCAGGCGAAGGACGTGGCGGTGGCACTGTCGTCCGTGCGGTAGAATGAGACTCTTACCTCCGGCCTATTCAGTTTTTTAGCGATGGTGCGTGTCTTCTTCCGTCTTAGTTGCAGTGGAGATGCATCATCTGTTGGTGATTGTTGTTACGGGGTAGGGCTGGTGAGCGGGGGGGCGGGGGGGGGGGTACCCCAACACTTTTGGCGTGGGGCGTGGAGCGGGTTGGGGAAAATATAGGGTTGCCTTGGATGGACATGCGGTCGAATTAAAGGCTTTGCCAGCAGTACTTCCTCTAGTCGCAGGGAGGGCCTGATGCCAGCTGATGCTGCAGGTACACGCCCATATCTACGAAGGCTTTAAGGAAGAAGAAACAGGAGAATCGTGACTGTTGGGGTTTGTCACACCCATCGAATGACCCTTAGAAAGGCGAGGGTGTCTAGTCCCTCAAGGAAGGATGTCATCCCCGTCGGGGTAAGTAGGCCTCATGCAATCCGACTTAATTCGACGATCAAGATTACTTTCAGGTGTGCTGCTTGCCCTATGGAGGGCGTAGGCTCTGTCAAATGCTGTGTTAGGATGCTCGTGGCTCTCTGCTCCGCGTGAAACCACCGGTGCACTATGTATGACGAGTGTTTTTTACGGCTATGTTTCGCTTTGAATGGTGGTATCTCTAGAATTCTAGGGCAATTCGACTTTTCGCCACTCCTTCCATCTGTCCTCCCTTTGGATAACCCGTTCCGAAATCTCTCCTCCGGTTGCAAGTACTATGGCAGCTCCTATGCGCAAAGGATACAGTGACACCCGTTTGGGACCCATCCCAGCTCTCTCGGCAATCTGGCGAATGGCCCTTGTCGCCTGTCGATAATTCCACACCCTTAACCGAATCCCCGACTCTAAACAAAGCGAGAGGCGCGTGTTCCGGCAATGACATGTCGACCGACATTAATTCCACCATCACCGCGACGGCACCGCCGGCCGACATTCATGAGCTAATCTTTGCTCATCGTGATGCCAGCGAACCTTGCCGCCGTGCCACACCGTTTCGTGCACAAGGTGCATAGCGAACACAATTCATCCCTTCCCGTAGCCCGCATCTGTGACAAGGTATGTCTGTCTCTGATTCGTCGGATATGCCCTTCTCCTCAATAGAATACGTCTGAATGCATGCAAAGAACGGACCGCCAAGCAAGGTGAACTATCGTTATTTTCCCCGCGGAAGTGGATCGCCCCCGCGAAAGCGACGAGGGGGCTCGAAATCCTTCATCGCGCGTGCTTGTTTAATTTAGTAGAAATACACTTCAACGCCAAGATTTTACACGAGGTGCCCCGTTGCCCCGCGCGCTACTGCCCCCCCGTCTATTTTTCAACATCGACTCAAAACACACCAATTCTAAGCGCCGAGACCGCAGCCGCGTGGCAACGTACTACCGGCCGGACACTGGAAGCACCGCTTCCATGGGCTACTATCGGGCGCGCTTGCAAAAAGAGCTTCGGAACTAGCCAACGGTCACTTCGATTTTCTGCGTCTCCCCTTTTTCTTCCCGCTGCTGCCGCCGCCGTTCCCCGACAACGCAGAGGAATCCCTCCTACCCCCCTCTGCTGCTGCTCCTCGATCGTCATCTACGTTTCCTAGTCTGCCCCCCTCTACCGAGGCTCCTTTGCAGCCGTTTCCGCCGCCCCCCGCCCCCGTTGCTGCCGTATCAAAGCTGTTCGCAGCAGCGGCAGCGGCAGCGGCAGCGGCATCAGAAGCGTCGTCGGTGCTGCTCCCTCCACCACCGTCGCACCCCGCGCTATCGCCGTCTCCGGTGCTGCTACACCTAGACCCACCGCCCCCTGCCTCCGCACCCGCGGCCGACCCTGCTGCTGCTGCTGCTGCTGCTGCTGCTGCTGCTGCTGCTGCTGCTATTGTTGCTCCCCCCGTTCCCGCTGCCGCTGCCGCCGCCGCCGCCACGCCAGCATCCAGCTTGAGCATGAGGGCCGCGACCTTCTCCTCCAGCTGGGGCACCCACTCCTCGCGGGCCTTGCGGGCGGAGTCTAGGTCCCGCCGCGCCTGCTCCAGGTTTGCCAGTACCTGCGGCTTGTTCGCTTCGAGGGATTGGTTCAGCTCCTGTGCCGACAAAAAAAACAAAAAAAAACAGAACGGGGTGACAAGAGTCGTAGTGTGAAGTCGCATGCAAAAACTGTTGTACAAGGGCTTACATTCATGAACGCGACGCTAACAAAAGCAGGCGGGGGTCGGGGTTGATGGACCAGGGTGGGGTGCCATCAAAATCTCCTTACCCTTCTAATAGCCAATCAACCTTGGGACCGACAGACTTACCGCATACCGGGACACGTAGAGCGACGCGCAGCTGATGTGCGACAAAGCGACAAACAAAAAACGCCATCCGGGTAACAACAACACTTGCGGTGTGTTTTGTGTGTGCATACCCATAGAAACGCCGTCTCCTCTCGGATCTTTCGCAACCTGGCCGAGGCGCTCGCGCACTTGCTCTCCAGCTCCCGCCGCTGCTGCCGGAGGGCGGACACGAGGTCGGCCCCGGACACCATCCTCTCTCTCCTCTCCCTCCGGCTCTTCTCCTGCTGCTCCAGCAGCCCGTTCAGCTATAGTTCGCGTTTGGGCAGGAGCGAATGGGTGCACGAAGCGGAGGGGTCACGCGAGCGGGGGAGGGAGTCAGGAGGTCGCCGAGGTACAAGAAAGAGCGAACAAGTTGGGGTGCCAAGCGGCCGGCGAGCGAAGCGGGGGAAAGCAAAACGGACGAGGGACGCCAAGAACGCGCCTTGCATTTTGGTGGCTACACCTGTGGAAAGGTAGTGCTGAGCGAGGGGCCAACCCCACGCGGCCCACCAACGGGCATCCCCCTGAACAGCAAAAATCAAGCGCAAGAAACAGCCAATAGCACGACCTTAACCAGAACCAAATTGAATAAAACAAGGGTGGAGCGCGGTGGGAGTGGGCGCGGTTTTCGCTGCACAGGCTTTGCTTTCTGCGGACGGTCGGCTTCACACACCTGCTTCTGGTAGAAGTGCCGCTGCTCGTCCAGCTGGCTCGTCAGCAGCGTATTGTACTGGTAGGCCAGCCCTTCAAGCTTGCCATGGACCAGGCGCTCCTCCTGTGTCCTCGCACGCGGGGGGGGGTAGGAGGGTCGACAAGGGAATTCAGCGACCACTCCTAAGCGTTGTTTTGCTATTCTTGTTTTCGCTAGTCCACCGGTAAATGCACCCAAAGGGCCAAGCGAAGGTGAGGGCCCGGCCCGGGGAGTCAAGAGCGGAGAAAACGAAGAGTGCGTACTACACTGCTTCGTGGACACACAATACGCACAACATCAAATTTGCTGCTGCTGCTGCTCTACGAGCAGGAAACGTCCCTCCCTCGCTTGCGGGGCAAGGGTTCAGCGAACCACGCAGAAACTACTTGCCGGTTTGCTTCCGGCCCCCGAAAACTGAACTCCTCAAGCTGACACAAGTAATGCCACATCGGCATACCGCACACTACACCATCACCACATGGTAAACATCGTACTTGGACATCCGACAGACGAGCGGGCATCTGTGGTCGCTCCTCCGACGTCTGCTCTGGGTCCGAAATCTCCACGAGCTTCCCGTCCGCCTTGTTGTGGATCAGGCGGTGGACAAATCCGTCTCCCGCGAAGTCCCACACTTGTTGGGTCTCTGATGCCGCGCGCGCGCGGGGGGGTCGTTTTACAGTCGTGGAACGGCTTGACGACGAAGAGATAGATGTTCGCACCAATTAAATACAAGGGAATTTCTCGATATGAACACAAACACACAAGACGGGAGGATGCTACACAGAGTTGCACTTCAAGAACAAGCAACGCAACAATAAAAGAGACAAAACGGTCGCGAGCAGATACTGAAGGAGGAGGCGCGGCACAAATCAAGACTTCACCTATTTCGATGGCGTACGCGTGCAGCGTGCTGTTGTAGTGCCCGCGAATGTGATCTTCATGTCGAGATCCACACAGAACGCTTCCGCAAATCAAGCAAACCCAAAGGTTGTCTGCTGCTTGGCACTCCTACGCGCTCGAGGGGATAGAGGGCAAGCAGGGGGAAAACGCCGCCAAAATTAGGAAGCAGGATACACCCGCAGCAGGCATGGTTAAACGGCTAGGCCGGTCGGGGGGGAGTAAAATGCATCTTTTACCGACCGACCAACCAGCAACCCCGCACGCCAGCCAGCTCACCGCACCAGAGACACCACGCCAGTCCTTATCATCACCATACATACCCCCCCACTCCGCCCTACCCTTACCTGACACGTGGACGCCTCGCTAGCGTTGTTGTGGTGAAAGCGGCAAACCGGGCACGGGCTGTCCTGCCACTTCATGAGGCACTCGACGTGGAAGCTGTGGTTGCACACCGTCGTGAGCACCCTCGACTCCATGCGCTCCATGCAGATCACGCACGTCGACGCGTCGTACTCCCACCCGGCCGCCTGCGCAACCGCGGCAGCAGCAGCAGCCTTCTCCGGAGATGACCCTCCCCCCACTCCGGCCGCGGCCGCCGCTGCCGCCGCCGCCACCGCCGCCCCAGACCCGCCACCGCCGATAGGCGAGAAGTGCCGGGCCGTGCGAAGCTGCGGTGGCGTTCCTGCTGAGGACGAGATGCCGCCGCTACCGCTTGTGGTGGCGGCGGTATTTGCTGCCGTTGCAGTAGCCCCGACCGCGGACCCTGCGGGGGGCGTGTGCGGGGGGGAAGAGTCGGCCGGGAGGTCGAAAGTTGCCTTGGCGACGAAGACAACTCTGCAGGTCGTCTCCTCGAAGCTGTTGAAGCGCTTGCCGTTGCACTGGAGGAAGAAGTCGTCGGCGCTGGACTGTGTGGCGGAGGCAAAAAGGGGGCGTGATCGTTCTCGTGTACGCGACGTTGCACAAATAGTACAACAGCAAGACTAGTGTAAATCCTGGGTGTACATTATTTTTTTCAAGCAGGTCTTTGCACTGCTAAAAATACAGCGGGCGCGTGATATCATATATACCTGTACGAATATCCACAAGTTGAATGTACGTCATTGTTTTGGCCATACGCCAAAAACAACACGTTAGCCCAGAGCAAGCTGTACAATACCTGGTGCTCGTGAGGCGGGGTGCTCATGAGATGGGCAGTCCAATTTCCGTACGGGCCAAGGCTCAGTTCCCCAGATATGAAAATAATTGTGCTGGCGACGATGCACGCTGCAGCACTGCAAAACTGCCCACAGGCCGGCAACAACAACAATGCTTGCTGCTCCCGCGAAGTAAAACCAGGGTCCATATACACATACGCACGAACCTGACTCTCCATCTGCAGGAGGACCATGTACTCCGCTGGCGTCTTGGCGGGATCACTCGGTCCCACCGGGTTGCAAGGGCGGAGGATGCGGAGGGAATGCACCTGCTCCTTGAACGGCGCGGCGAAGTGTAGCATATCTGTAGGCACCATGTGCGCTGGCACCGACAGGAGGCACAGCAGCTTGCCCCGACGCTGAGGGAGGTGGTCAAGGAGGACGTCGGCATTGAAACTAGGGGAGTAGGTGGTGTTGGCGACGGTGCTGCTGTTGGAGCCCTCCCGGCTGCTGCTGCTGCTGCTGCTGCTTCTGCGAGCGTGGCCCTTCTCTTCCTTGCGCGACGAGGAACCGTCGCCGCTCTCGTTCCTGCTGCTTTCGAGGTAGGTCAACCTTCCCGACAGCACTCCGAGCTGTGGATTTCCGGTCATGAACTCCAGGCTTACCGCACCGTCCATCGTACTCTCACCAGTCCTGCCTTGTCGGCAAGGTTCACACGGGGTCTGTGGTTGATTACGTGAAGAGTGAAGAGCTCGAGAGATGCGGTGAGATTAGCGAAACAGGTTCGCATTGCGGTTCGGGAAAGTTTCTCAGTCCCGCCGTTCGTTATGTGCCTCACCTGCGAAGCTTCTGCTGCACCTCTCTGTCTGTCTGTCTGTCTGTCTGTCTCTCTCTCTCTCTTTCTCTCTCGGCCCTCTCTCCTCAGTAGTCAGAGACGGCCATCCAGCCGCAAATATGAAGCCCCTTCCCCCCGTATCCAGCGCAATGCGGCACGGTGGGAACGGCTACCAAGGTCCGGGTGCATGGATACGACCTAGAAAGAAGCACTTCGCACTTAGTGAAGGACCTCTCGATCTTGGCCGAATTATCAGCAACCTCGACAAACACCACCGAAAGCAGAGCTTGCACCAGCGACAATACAGGTCCAAGAATCGCTCCAAGCTGGGGAAAACTGCGGCTCTGCAAGCAAGGTTGGAGTCACTCTCGCTTGCGTTGGCTCCGTCACATGAAGTTCCCTCGGCGGCCGCAGAAACCTCGGCGGGGTGTCCCGATCGTCAAGTTGAGCTGTCGAGACGGCTGCCTGATCTGCCCGACGCACACCACCAACAGCATCAGCAGACGCATAATAAAGCTGTCGAAGCCGACGGGTCCCTAGAAAACGGGTACGAAACCAGTATTGGTGCTCTAGGCTGTGGCGACAACGAGCAACAGAAACCGCCAGATATCGAACACGGTCGCACGAGGTTCGATCACGAGCACAATGGCAGCAACAGCGTACAAGGTCCTTCGATGCCGTCAGCTACACACGATCAGGACGTGACGGCTTCGGGAGACTCTCACGCCTACGCTTTTCATAATCTACGAATTCCAAATCCGGCAACAAAAATGTCAGTCGACGATAGATGCACCTCCGAGTTGCTCGGTGCTCGAACAACCCTTCGAGCTCTGCTGAAAGAGCAGAAGAAGCTAGGGGATGAGATGCAACGACGGCGTTCCTCTCTTGTGCACTACATCAACAGGAAGAAAGAAGACAGCCGAAGGCAACGACGTGGGAAGTCGACTCGATATACTGGACGTAGAAGGTCACGCCACAACGGCCGGCTACGGAGTCTTGACGTATCAGAAGGGGCGGGAGGAGGAGGAGGGGGGGGGGCGGTGAAACGAGGTTCCCATCTCCATCCGCTTCTTTTCATGGCTGAAGCGGACGTTCAGAAGGTCGAGCTAGATCAAATGCGACTGGAGGATGCCGAAGCCACAACTCTTTCGAAGTGAGGCAGACTCCGTTGGGCACACGTTCTTCTTTTCGTATGATTCTATGAACCAACAGGCTCTGTGCAGCACCTTTTCGTTCAAGCGCTCGATTCCAACTCACACGACTGGCGCTGTCTTACTGCAACAAGATCACCTTACACTCAATCAACGCCGCTTTTTATTGGATGACATTCACAGTGGTTCTCAAGTGCAATGCTACTGAGCTCCCTTTCTTTGACGACTCTGATTCCCGTTGCTTCGTTCGGCCGGCAAAGGTTGGAAGAGGCTCAGCGGCGAAAACAAGACTACAGCACGTACTACGGCTTAGCTGTTCGCTACGGCCCCCTACCCGGGGAAAAGTTTGACCTCGCCACCTACCCCGGCAGCCACTATCACGGCAAGATCCTCGACGCCACCAGGGTCATCCAAATCTGGTGGTGGAGTGTTTGGCCGCCGCTGCTACGCCATCGCAAGGCAGCGGCTCTGGCGATACAATCGCAATTTCGGGGCTTCCTTCAGAGACAGAAGTGGCGTGCCATCATCCGCTTGAGGACGCTTTGGGGAAACACGCGAATCGTGACCCACAGCTTCGTGGTCTGGCGAATCACTATTACGACGGCCCTACGCGTAAAAACGTTCACCGGCCGGTTGTCAAACCGTCGGAAGGGGAGAGTTTTCGGGGCCCTCTTGAGTAACGCCCAGGAGAGACGAGCGGCGCGGGAGGAACTTCTGCGACAGCGTATACGGCGGGTTTCGGAAGGGGTTCGGCTTCGAGTTTTCGAGAGCTGGGTGAGATACACGAAGACGTCGCTGGCGGTCGAGCGCTTACGATTCCGCTCGGTAGCGTGGAGATGGTTCCGAGAATGGCGAGATGTCGCGTTGGAGGACCGCATGCGATCACGAATGGACTGGGCTTGTTCCACCCTCGCAAGTAGGCTGCTGCGATGGAAACATAGGTCACACTACGTCAGGGTTCGGAAATCCTGCGTGAAGATGCAAGTCGTGGCAAGGATGCAAATATCGTGCGCACGACTGAAAAGGAAGGTCAAGGCCTCTCGTGTCCGTCGGGCTGAGGAGGCTGTTCAAAAACTTGAGGTGCAGTGAGAATAAAACGCTTGGTGTTGGGTTGGATGTTTACCCGAGTGAAGCATACCTGGTACCAGGACAAGGATTAATATTGTGTCTGCGCGTTTGTCCCATTGGTGAGTTGAGCCAGGAAGAGGAAAACACCCAATCTCCACCCAACTCGATGGAGCGCGGAACGAGGCACTGCTTCGTTTCTACATTGACCTCAACATGACCATCAGGCGCTCCACGTTCGACTCAAGCATTCTCGTCCTCCTCGTATCTACTGTGTGCACGCTGACGTCTGTCACACGAACCAAGGATTTTCGAGTCCGTGGCCTAATCGACGTTGAGCAGCGGCGCCTTGATCGCCTCCGAGCCGCTCTCGACCGGCACACCCCTTCGATAAAGAAGAACGCCTTGGCGTTCTTGGGAACAGCAGCCGGCAAGGAGGCCGTCGCGAGCACGCTAGCCACGGCCCCGCCTGCCTCTGAGTCCGAAGCGGAAGCGAAGCAAGAGATGGTGCGGCGTTTCGTGTGGCGAGAGCAAGCGCTGATGAGGCACGACTTCAACACCACCTCGCCACCCCCGCCCCTGTGTTGCCCACGCTCGGATAGCTGCGACGCCACCTTTGTCGACCGCGGCCACGCCCTGCGCCACGCGGCTGATGTACACCCAACGGACTCGCCTGGGGTGGCAGAGCTGTCCGTGACGATGAGAGACCCTGTTGGACTCGCGGTGTTCGAAGAATTTGTCGAAGCCGCGGCCGTCGCCGCCGAGCCTGACGGGAAGGGCAGTTTTACACGGCAAGCAAGCTCTGACGAACAACCGCCCGTGAAGCAGAGCGACCAAGGGTCTACTCCAGCTTCTTCCGTTGGTGCCGCTGCCCGCGATACTTTAGACGTGTGGAAGGCGATTCAGGCGTGGAGGTTGATTTCCTCGGATCAAAAGCGTTTCCAACAACTCGGTGAGGCAATTATTCTGAGTCGCACCAAGTACCCCCACCTTCCCGACGACGTCAGAGTCGCCCTCGGCGGCGAGCAACTACGCCGCCTCTTCGGAGAGCTGGGAGCGACACACGGCGGCAAACCGAACAAGAAGCTCCTCCCCGGCCGTGGCAACCACACCTCCACGCTACAGCGACCATCACCCCCAAGAAGTGGTGATGACGCACGCGTCACTACCGTAGTAGAACCTTCCGCCCTGGAAGAGGCGAGCTTCCGAGCCGTCGCGTTCTTGAGCGAGTGCCAAGTCGGGCTGGCGTTTCTAGGAAGCTCGGCGTACAGGACGTACTTGGACGGGGTGCACAAGCCGATGAGGAATGCCGTTGAGGCGGCATCGGCTGAGATCGCGGCCGCTGAGGAGGCGGAGTGGGCGGCTGAGGCCCACAGTCTCCGGAAGGCGGCCCTCGATCGCGAGCAAGAGGCGCAGGTCGAGTGTTTGGCGAACCAGGCTACGCGGCTTGTCCTGCAAGGGGCTGTCGGGGCGAGCCTCCTGGGCGGCTTGATTGACGATCAGGTAAACCCTGTGTCTTACGATCTTCTTCCGCCGCTGTTGTGTGAGGGAATATTCTCCACCACGAGAATGACGCGAAAGACACTTTTGGGAATGTATGATAGATTCGCTCGGTACGCGAGCAGTTTGCTCTCTGCTGCATTGAGCAAAAAACAAAATGTCGATTGTGTCTCAAGAAAACAGCGAAACGACACGTACACAATACCCGCAGGTCTACTTTGGCTTACAGCACCCTAGAAATCAAGAGAAACTCTATTGATCGCACGATGCTGGCTACAGAAGATAACGATTTGTCCCACTGGATACCGGCGAACGGCATGCATGCGGAGGAAGATGTGTGACAGAACTTGAACATAAGCTGTAGGATCAACGCATATGTCCCTCATGTGGATAGTCACACCTGCAATCACAACTGCATTGCAATTTCGCATTTTTTGTGTGTAAACTACCAACTGGTATAATTCTTCGCATCCTCCAATCGACGAACTAACCCATCGATCAACAACCTCCTCCAGGCGTCGCTACTCGCGGTGGTCATCATCGCGGAGCGGAGCACGTTCGCCAAGGTAATTTCGGCCGTCTGGAACGAAACGGTGGACGAGGCGGCCCACCTCATCGCCCTCGAGGACCGCGAGATCGACCCGGGAGTCGCCTCCGCTCTCTCCGAAGCGGCCTGCTCTTTCGCTCGGTCTCGAATCATGGACGAGCTCATCGATCAGTGCGGTGTAGACCTCACGGGCCCGGAGGGAGACCTGTGGGCCGATGCCAGACCGATGGAGGCGGTGGCGGACGGCCTGGGGTACCAAGTGAGGTCGAAGGTAATGTCGGAGCTGGTTGATGAAGCCGTGTCGGAGCTGGCGGCGTCCGGGGAAGCGGAAGAGTTGATGTCAGAAGCGGCCCTCGCTCGCAGAAGAAGAGAAGATGAACTGAGGGAGGGGGGAGAGGCTAAGGATGAGGCCGACGGGATTGCGGGGGCTGGGGACGTGGTTGCCTCCGGAGGAGGGGGCAAGGCTTCGGAGGAGATGGCTTCTCTTGGGGCGAGGACGACAGACGACGACGGCGGTTCACGGCGGCATTCGACGGCAACCGCCGTGGCAGCTTCTTCTTCTGCCTTGGTGCTTGTTGGGGCGGACGAAGTGCGCGGCGGCTTGGAAGAGGCAGGGGGTACTGACGGCGAGGGTCGGAGGGAAAGCTCCGTCGACAGGACTGGCGGCAGTAGTGGGAGAAGCAGCGTCGGCAGCACGCTGGCGGAGACGGAGGCGGCCGTGCTCATGCAGTCGGCCCTGAGGCGCAAAGCGGCGTACCGGGAGATGAAAAAGGTGGTCGCGCAAAATTTTATCCGCATGTACGACCCCGGCGAGGGTGCGTTCTACTGGTGAGTGCTACAGCCTGATGCCCCCAAAAACAGTCATTTTCCGTCCCAGAACACCCGGCGTAGACTACAACGAGTATTATCGCCGACGTTTCGCTCATAGTATGATGATTCTTCATTTTCCCGATGCGTCAAACCTTTTAGCCTGTGCCCCGAACGATTTCTGACTGGGCGCTACTACCCGCTCTGTGGCGACTTGAGACAGCACTAAACTCATCGGTGAAGAGCACGAGTTGCTCGTGACTACCCCTAAAGAGTTACATAGTTGGGAAGGCGTTGTGCTACAATTGCCGATAGTAGGGCCATAAGCAGCCAGTATTTCAAGGGACATATGTGGTTCAAAAACTACGATCGATCGAATGAGACATTTTGTGTTGTTTTCCGTCACCCATTGGAACTATCAGCAGCCAGGGTCGCTCGCAGTGCTGCCTCCCTTACGACCGTTCCTCTTTTTAGAAAGTACACATAACCTCACAGAAAGACCGCCCGTTCGAGACAATACTACAGTCGAAGGGGACTGTCCTGAAGACGTCCAATGCCGGGCCACACAACTTTTCCACTGTAGTAGCGCTTGTCTAAATTCATTCACGTGAGTGGGGTTCAGCCGCTCTTTTCTCAAGCGCACCTATGTTGGACGATGCACCAGGTACAACCAGGCAACAATGGAATCTACGTGGGACAAGCCGGTCATCATCGATTTGTACTTCAAGAAACCCGTCGTCGCCAAGAGTACGTACTTGTTCCGAGAAGCAAGTACGGGGGGATCGCGGCGTTCCGTAGTCGACGGTTTCGAGAGTAGGAGAGTCTCGAGTTAGTATCACGACGAGCGTGTGCTCCTTGCTGCTTTTTGTCAGTTCGTACGTTATCTCGCTGTTCAGGAAGGAAGGCAGAGCTCTCTTTCGCAAGACTCGACTACATACACACAGAGCTGGTACACTAGCTCCCGGCGAACCCCTGGCCTAGACGTGTTAAGTCACCTTCTCTTCGTGCTACACCACCGAGCTGAGCGTGCACTTCTGCGCTGGTGTTGTGTGTGGTGTGAGCTGCAAGGGGATACAGTAGGCAAAGCAACACACAAGACAGGCTTCAGATCTTCAGAGACACACGCGACCGCAGTTGTACATAGGAAGACGCGCTGCAGGAAGTCTGAGCACGAGTGTCGTTTTTTACCCGCGACAGGCGCGAAACCCCTAAAAAAGAGGCTTACAGTAGCCAAAAAAAGGACCGCCGAGGCGTCGAGCGCGCGCCTCAAACAAGAGTTAGTCTCCACCGGCACGCCGGAGCGATTGCGGAGGCGGCATGTGCTGTGCAGAGATACGATACTACCCAAGACGTCGTGCAACAAAGATGAATGGACACCACTTCTTGCTTGGGCGTAGCGCTTTTTGCAACGCCGCAAAAAAGGCATGCACCGTGATTCCACTCATGTAGCGTGGGATCTGCTGTGCGCCATATGAAACGAAAAACAAAGAGCCTTCACCAGAAACGATAAAAATAAACTCCAGGTTTCGAACGCGGAGAGAGATGGGAGCAATCCATCGTGTCGTTTGTTTCCCCAAAATAACCCCAAATCTACACCCATCCGGGACCGGGCTGATTACGCACGCACCATCTCCTTGGCCCACAACAAACTCAGCCCGTAAACTGCAAAATACAACAACCGAGGTGGTACACGTGAAAAAACAGTTGTAAGTAAAGACTACACCCGCTTTGTTTTTACCCTTCTTCGTGGAAAACGAACAACCGGAAAAAAAAAACGAAGGAAATTTATGTCCCTCTAGCCACCACCGCCGTCCGGGGAACAACCAATCGTGGGCACACAACCCATGCCGCCTGAGAAAAAAACACGAAGCAAAGAGCTATTATAGGCATGCCGCATACAAGAAAGATACAACCTTGACACAGGCTGTAGAGTAGGCCCACAGCTCTTTTCAATCCCAATCCAAAGTTCTTTCATTTCTTACGGTCTCCGATATGGGATGTACCCGCTGTTTACGCAGCACGAGGCTTCGAGGTCGTGCATAAAATGAACCGCCTCCTCCAGTACTCGAACCTTCTCTAGTGCCAGGGTACGCTTTCCTTCTCCACCGACCACACCTCTGCGGGATCGCGACAGCTGTCGCCGCCGCCTTGTATGTGCAAACAAGCACGCGCCTTTCCGACAACCGGTCGTGCTACTAAATAATGCGCCTCGTTCCAACTCCAACTCTTCCCTACTCGGCTGATGCCGGTTTCGGTCAAAAAGCAAAACAACAGGAAAACGATAGAAGCGCGACAAATGGACAATTGGTCGGCTGCAGCTACATAAGAGCCGCCCTATGTAGACCAGAACGAACGAGGTGCAAACCAACATGAAGAATGAACACATCTCCGACCCCATGTCTACTGACTGCTGTATCTCCTCTTGGCCCAAAACAACAACACGTACCGGAAAAGACGGGCCATCGTCGTCTGCCATAGAAGCGACTAGCTCCCCTGTTCATCGGCGAAACGTCTACTATATATGAAGCTACAGATGCAAACACACGCACACGTCTTCTTTTCATTGGTCAGCCGGTTAGCGTGGTCGATGCTAATAATAATGTAAAAAAAACACACACACGGGGATGGGTCCAACCCTTGCTAGCGCAGCAAAGCAAGAAAAGCCCATCCGGGAGATACTACTTCTGCCCGGACATCGCCAAGAAAGGGGACGAAACGCCACGTCTCTACACCAAAACCGGTCAATCCGCGTGAGAGCAGCGTAGTACCGGCTCCGCTGACTACACCTGCACGAGCCAGCGAAACACCTACAGTACATCGGTGTCCAATCTATCCGCCCACCCTCTCCCCACCCCCCCTCACGAACAAAACAAAACATAACAAAACAGCACAATGAATGGATGTATGCGTAGAAATATGCACCAACAACAGCGAGAGACCGTTCAGCAAAAAGTACTGGTGGGAGGGTCTTGTCCCCCGTCTCAACTTAATATAAACCAATGCACTTCTTCATCCGATACCCGTACACTCGACTGTGACCGGGGTCAGGAACTGCTCTCAACCAATGGCGAGCATCATTGCAGGGGGGGGGGTGGGGGGTGGAGCGGGGTAGAATTCCTTTTCCGTTGCATAACGGGCAGGATCTTTGCCAGATTCTCCTGCGCGTCTACACGTCATAACACACAAAAGAAGCAGCGGCCTCGCGCGAAGGCGAACGAACACAACCAAACGCCGACTAACAAACACATCACCAAAAAAACGTGCGAGGAGGGGGGGGGGGGGGGGGGTCTGAACGGTAGTACAAGCAAACAAACACACGCTATGTTACCGATATTTCATTTCTTCTTGCTATGAAACAGATTGCAATGAGCCACCCGGTTCAACGCAACTTCATCACATCAACACTCGAGCGCGTACAACAGGGGGGAGCCGCGATCCGAATCTCACCATTCCCTCCGGTCAACAAGCCTGCCAACCAAGCCGCAGAAGCGCCGTGCTATCGGCACCCTCCGCCTTGCTCGCCAACGCTCTGCTCAAGCACAATCCGTCCACAGCTACATGTGCCTCCCGCACGAGACAACACCGCCACCATCGATCCCGCCGTGGGTGACCACCAACCAACACCAACCACCACCAAAACCACCAACACCATTACCACCGCCACACAGGGACAGCGTGATTACGCCGAACGCCTCCCTCCTTCATCCGGAGCACACCGCCCCGCCGCCCCCCCCAACCCCCACCCCGGGCCTCAAGCTCAGCACCGAGCGCACATCCTGGCACGACGTCAGCGCCAGCAGCACCGGGAGGAGGTCCAGCAGCTGTCGGTCCTCCGTGTCCCTCGGAAACCACGACTTGACGGGGAGGACGTTGGCCTGCTGCACCACCGTCCGCGGCTGGTTGTCCACGAGCACGGTGCGGAGTGGGAAGTGCTCCGAACCCACAACCTGGAGATCCTTAACGCTCTCCGAGGACTTGGGCGGAGCCCCCGCCTCCGCCGTCGCCGTAGGCACCCCGGTAGCGCCGCGCGCCGTCCGTCCGGTGTCGGGCGGGGCGGCCCCGTCGCGGCGGACGCAGCTGTCTCGGTAGAAGCGCTTGCCGATAACACATCGTGAGTCGATGAGGTCGATGAGCGGCTGAAGGCAAAGGGGAAAACAACAAACAGCACAAGAGGGGGCGGGGGGGGTGCACACGGGTGTGAGGGCGATCGATCAGTGGAAGGATTGTAGAAATAACGATTAATATCGACGCATGCAGGAAAAGGACGAAGAGATTGGAGAGAGGTGTATCTGGGATTACTCCCTGTTTGCGACGTTGATGGCGCGGTTGTGGTGCAACTACAGCATCGACAGACAAAACTCCTGTATCGACCTCCTCAGTGGTGCCCCTCCCCGCTACAGCAGTATCCTCTCCCGAGCGAGAGGGAGAGGGTCCAACGACAGCCAACCTGATGCCGCAAACCTGGCCTTAAAAACAACCACGAAGAAAACCAACACAAAAGGCCTCTCGTCAAAACCCCAATTCTCACCTCCGCAAAGCACTGCCGCCCTGACGTGAAGACGGCGACCTCGTACCACCTGCTAACCACTCCGAGAAATACGTCCAGGTGCGGGCGCTTCCACGCGTTCATGCACGACGGCCGGTTGTCCGAGGGCGCCCTACCCCTCATCTCGAGCTTCAGGTCCGGCCGCGGCGCCCCCCGGCCGCGGCCCCCGCCGCCGCCGCCGCCGCCGCCGTGCCTCCTCGGCGGTTGCATCAGGTGCGGAGAGCAGTGGACCAGGGTCTCGTCGAGGTCGAGCAGGAGCAGGAACTTGGGCTGCCGCGAGCCCTTGCCCCCGCCGGGGCGGTACCCGCACAGGCTCAGAAAGTTGAGGCAGTTCAGGCCCACTGGCCGCCCGAGGTGCAAGCCCTTCTCGCTCGGGCTGCTGCCGTCTGTCGCGCCGAGTGCGCCCCGTCCGCCGCGGCTGCCGCTCGTGCGCCCCCCGGATCTTCGCTGGCGCCTCTCGGAACCCCCGCCGCCATTGCCGACGCTCCCGACGCCGCTCCCGCCACCGCCGCCGCCACCCCCGCCTGCGGCTGTCCTGCGCCGACGACCCGCGGCTCCGTGGGGGTAGCGCGGCGGCGACGCCAGGGCGCCGGCCAGGATGTCCGCCTCGGCGTGCGGCGGGGGCACCCAGAGGGCCGACCACGCCTGGCGGAGGCGCGTGAGAACCCGGCCCGCGGCGCGCCACCGGGTGGCCAGGTCGTCCTCGACGGCGTGCCAGAGCGAGGACCACGCCGCCCGGAGGTGGCGCACGACCGGCGCCGACAACACCCCGCCCCCGCGGCGGCGCCCAATTTTTTCCTTGCCGCTGCTGCTGGCGATTCTTCTTCGCTTCACCGGTCCCGATCCAGAGCTCCGTTGGGAAGAGTCCACGCTGCCGCTGCCGCCGCCGGTCCTGGACCCTTTCCTTCTCGCCGGCGTGGAGCCTGGGGCTCCGGAGCTACCGCTGTTACTGCCGCTGCAGCTGTAACTCGCGCCCTTGGCGTACGGCGTAGCGCGCACCGCGGTGACGTCGTCGGCCTTCGCGATCGCCACGAGCACCAGCACGACGAACGCCAGGGCCATGTGGAGAGCCTGCGAGAGGGGGGATACCGGGCCGATCATCTCGCCGTAGTCCCGGCTGCTGCCCATGTCTCCGGCCCTGCTGGGACCGCTGCTGCTGCCGCCGCCGCCGACCCGCCCCGTGAATGGTAAGATATCCGGGCGACCTCCGAGAAGGTCGTGGTCGAAGGCTCTCACAGCTTCGGGAGACGACAGTCTCGCCGATGATGCTACTGCAGCTGCTGCGGTTGAATCTGAGATGCTCGCAACTCCGACAACGCTGCCCTCGTGCAAGACGTCAACCAAGGCTGTGGCAGGCGGTAGGTTTTCTTCGGGCTCGCCACCACCACCACCCCCACTGCTGCTGCTGCTGCTACTGCTGCTGCTGACGTCAACCACCGGAGACGCGCGCGGCCCTCCCCTGCCAATATCATCGTGGGGCACGCCTTCTCCAAAACCGACATCACCTATCTCCACTTGTTGTTGGAACATCTCCGTTGAAGCAGCGGCCGCTGCTGCTGTGCTACCTCCCACCAACGTCTTGCCGCTAATGGTGCTCTCGCCACACCCCGCGCGCGCTCTCTTGCCGCCCGCTTCCCCTGCTGGCGACATGCCGGGCCCAGGAGGTGGGCACGTCGGTGGTGAGGCACGGCGGGAAGATCGGCCAGGGGCACCGCTGCCATCATCACCTTCCCTCACCAACAACGTGGCGCTCTCCTGTTGCCCCTCCGCCGCCCCCGCAGCGGGAGGGGGCTGCTGCTGCTGCTGCTGCCGCCCCCGCTGCTGCTTTTGTGCCTCGAACTCTCGCCTTGCCTCGACACCCGTTTTCAGCGGGAGTTCTATCTCTACCTCTACGGCCGCGGCTACTGCTGCTGCTGCTGCTGCTGTTGCTGCCAGCTCCGCTGACCAAACAAACGCGTGGTCGTTTGCGTGCTGTCTCTGTCTAATGCTGTCACCACCGCTGCTGCGTTGCTCATATGAAGCGGCAAGCGGCGATTTTCCTGTGCCATGGTGATGACGCATCTTCCATTCACCCTCCGCTTCACTACCCACCCCTTCCCAGTTCATCACCTCACCCGCCCCCACACTGCTGCCAACCTCACCACCCGCCCCGCTGCCGCTGCTGGCAGCTTCGAATCCCAGATCCATCCCAGCTGCTGCGGCCGCTCCTCCTGCTGTCCGTAGGTCTGCAGAGAGAGAGGAAGAGCCCGAGATCGACGCACGAGACGCGACACCGCTGCGCCCCGAGGTTGCAGGCTGGAGAGCAGCAGCCCCGCTGTGATCGTCCGTCGCAAATCTTGAACCTTGTCGTACATCCGATGGGGGCATGTACGCGAGATGGAGAGCGGAAAACGTAAGGGTGCCGTTGGGAGAAGACAACACACAGCACACTTTTTCTTGGCGCTTTTTTTTTCGCCCACCGGAAGAAAACCAACGCGCTGGCGCGTATGATCTTGGACAGGGATCAAATGCTTCCCCCCTCGGTTATCAGGTGTGGGGATAGGTAGTGCGTTTGACCTCTCTCTCCCGTCTGTCGCTCGCGTCTGATGTCTGATGGGTCTAATGTCGTCTATGTACTGCTGCTGTAAATGCCTTGGATGCGTGTGAAGGCCTCGATAAAAAAAAAAAAGCGCGAATGCGGACGTTCACATGATACGACACCCCCGGGGCGATTATTAGAGCTCGATAACTCTGCAGTCTAAACAATGGTGGTGCCAACAGTGAAAGCTTGGAACCGCCTTGTCGATATCTTTCCAAAAATATCCCTCATGAAGGTGTCATCTTCTTGGTCGTGGAGAAAGTGAGCTTTTGATACAGATCCAGGGGGTGTGGTATCTTATGCAACCTCCCGGGATATTGCGGGACAATACGAAAATACACCAGCAGTGAAACGACTGCGACTGACTCCTTCGCAAGTACGACGCGGTGTTCGAAACTTTCGTCTTTCGTCGTAGACCGCGCAGCCCCGCTTTGCCGTTGTCGTTTATTGTGCGCAAAGGCAGAAAATGCGAATATTATGTACGCACGCAACAACCTCTCCGCTCCTGTACGTGGGTAAGAGTGCGCACTATTTTTCGCACACAACCTTTTCCGAACGCGAATGTTCAACGTTTCAACGTTGTATTTCATTGAACATTTAACCACGAACCAGGCTTGCTTGCGGCTTTCCGAGAAACTTACGGCACCATCAACGAAGCAGTGTTCGGTAACAGTGCAAGTACTATGCCTAGATCGCCAGCAGGGGAAGCCAACACGGGCAGCAAGAAAAAGAGGGGTGGTATCAGCGACGACGACTACTTCGAACCGGACGAAGAGGAGCTCGAAGAAGAACGTGGGTACACGCGACGTCTCGTGTAGCATGCATACTATATACCTGCGCCTAGCCGTGTAGTATGTAGTGGACAGCCCTTTGCGTGATTGGAACCTCCTACCGGGCGATTGGATCCACACCGTGGTGCCCGGTAGAAGATATAGATGGGGTGTGGAGCAGAACTCATCAACCGTTTAATGGCCGATTTTATTACAAGATTAAGATTGCACACCTAAGTACACTATTGTCTACTTCTGTGGAGACAGACAGACAGACAGACAGACAGACAGACAGACAGACAGACGACGTCGTCGCCGGTGTCACATACGCTTGCTTGCAGACTACCGTAGATCAACTGCTACAGAGTACCGCAATTAATAGAAAGCAGTTCCTTTTTTTGTTACTACCGCAGAGTCTACCCTCCACAACAGCGTTGGAGTCCGACAAAAGAGTGAGGTGGTTTGGCAGTTTAGTGTTTAACGTTGAGTATGAGAACACACGGCGCGGCATACAGCAGAAAGTTTGTTAATAGGCTGGGTACAGGAGTGAACCCAACACAATAATAACGAGTTGTGTTGCACACGTGCCCTTTACAACTGCGCGTTCCCAGGTCAAGATGAGGCTGTTAGGCTCATCCAAGGCCTCTTCCGTGCAAAGCGAGCTCGATACGTCGTAAGGTTTGTACACGCGAATTCCTGGTTTTTGTTCTAGTAAATATGTAGTATACAGTCTACGTCGCAACAAGCTGTAGACAGAGTACAAGACGACAGGAAACGTACACAAGAGATATCTGCATTTGTGACGGAGTCCTAGACTTCATTATCGGTAGGGGCGCAAATAAAATCCTCAAGGATATAATGCTCAATCAAGGGGAGATTCGAACCCCGGACATTACTCTTGTCGTGCCGCCGAGCGGGCAACACAGCGCAGATCACAGGGATGGCAACCCTGGGGGGACGTGTTCGTGGCTTGAAAGAAAGCTTGGCGGGCTCGGGCATTAACTATTGTTAGGAGGCACGCTGACTAATGGTTTAGTGGTCATCGTGCTTTTTAACACAATCGATTCAAGTCAACAAAACAATCTCGCTGTCGTCGAAACACCGCCGGCAGAGAAATTACGACATCGAGAGTGCGACTTGAATCATAAATTGTGTACGGTGGTGTGCGAGAGCGGAGAAAGGGTGGGTGCGGCGGGGACAAGCCCGCTGACCATTGTTGTAGTATTGTTCTTGGGACAACCAGTGACGGTATAGTGATAATCGGATTGTTGGTATATTTGCTTCCTTCGCCGGTTTAGATGGAGTCGATAGCTACATGCCTGTGCGACGAGTGTGACACGCCTCTCTCACAACATCAAGCCAACGGTGTGTTTCTCCTATTACTCCTCTCGCCGGCATTTTTGATACAGGGAACTCATCAAGGCGAACTACGTGAAGGAAATCGACTCTCTCTCGGGAGAACCCATATACAGGAACAGGCGCACTGGCTATATTAGCCGCCGGAAGCCAGTGTTTCTCGGCAACGATGACCTGGAAACGCCGCGGTAAGACACATACAGCATAACGCGTTGGAGGAACCAGTGGTGCTGCGGTAGTACTTGCATGAAGATGTTCGCAGCGAATATCGCAGGCAACAGTGTGGGAGTAGAATAGGGTGATTATCATACCTACACAAATCGTGGTGCCACTACGGTGGAACACCTTGCTCTCACTAAGTTTTTGAAACATGTACGCTTGGTTGGGTGAGGTGTTGCCCGGATTGTTTCGCTACTGGGTTCCAACTTTGATCCTTGGCGTTTGCCTGTGTTTTTATACGTGATCTCACGGTTCGCGTCAAGTCTATACCGACAGCAAAAAGGGGACTCAAGATCAAACACATGCATGCAGGTTGTTGTGGGTCAGTTTCTCGTACTATGCACCCCGCAACTACAGCGGATAGATATGCTAGCGAAAAACTAATACTGCCTCTAACTGCTAAGTAATCAGGATCCACCGTCTTGCTCAAAGCGGACAGAAATAGAACCATCTGGCAGCAACCTTTTCTACATCGATTTCGCGCAGGTATTTCGCCGCGTTGGACAACTACGATCCGGGAAAATCGGCCATACCACAGTTCGCCGTGATCATCACCAACCAGGAGTTTGAGTCCCCAAAGATCCCCACCATCCCAGAGCAGGTACAACAGTGGTCGTGGCGGGTGGCAACAAGAGAGGGCCACAGATAGATGCATAGCATGAGCAAGAGCAAGAGAAAGACAAGACACAGAAATTGAGCTTGAAGGAAACAATAACACTTTGCCGTGGGACCTCATAAATGTTTCGATTCAGAGTCATCATCACTTTCCCTCCATGAATTGATTCCGTGACACCATGTATCTATCGTCTTCGCCTTCATAATTGATCTACTGGCGAAATGGACAAATCGTTTACCACCGTTCTGCCCGTGTCGTTTAGAGGGCGAATAGGAATACTTGTGAAAACATTTCGGTGAACGAATCACAGTGTAAATACTACAGTGGCGACATTGCCAACAGCCGTGCTGTCTACCTGCCGTTGTTCGTGATTGGAGCTACGGTACTAAATCTTCCAACGTAATCACAATCATGATCATCAGGAGCATCCAATAACATGCCAGGCAGTGCCACAACGACACGCCTCGCAGTACGCCCCTCAGCCCGGAGCTGAATCCCCATCCCTCCTCTCAGCCCCTACCCCCGCCCCCTGGTCGCAGGTGCTTGCTGACCATGACGCTCTCCGAGAAACTCTGGAGCACCCTTACTTCTCCAAGTTTCAATCGGGTGAGAGGTCACCCGCATTCTGAGCCGTGCTTACGACTGTTTTTACAACTATAACAAAGGGTGGTTTGACAGGAATGGAAAACGGTGTTCCACGCTGTTCAATACCCCATACCCCTTACCCTACAACTCTCACGACCGGCAGTTGCTAGGTCATGGTATTCCGGACGCTGGGTTGGTGCGTTGGGTTGGTGCTAGGCTTGGTGTCTTGCTTAATTAGGGCACACGCGCAGTGTTCTGACATGGAGACCAACCCCTTGGTATGCCGAATGGTGAGCTGTACCTGGTCTGATCGAGCTGTTGCTGTTTCGACGGTCCACGTACAGGGGCTGAGCGAATGATAAGCAGCCTTCACGTACTGACGCGTGCCGCCCTCAAGCAAAACGATTCAAGTACGCGGGGGTTTCACGGCATCAGATATAACATGCTCTCGTCCTACGTACCTTTCTGTATCCCCGTTGCGAGGTGTTATTCTTGACCACCCACGGAAAACATCGCCCGTTGGTGTGTCACCTCCGCTGCCCCCCAGAGAACTGCTTCTTCGTCAAAAACGCCACGTCAGAGGTAATGACGGCAAGTTTGGCATCGGTGCAACGTCAGGTACGTCATGTCAGGCGTGGCGCTAGGCCGTGTATGTGCGACCGTAAAGGGTGTGGACGTGACCTTCTCACAGGGTCATGCGCGTGTACTCCCAACGATACATTATTTTCATACTTGTGTGTGGTTTTGTAAATGGTCAGGAATGCTGTGAGTACGGTGTAGTGGAAGCCGGCCGTGGGAATGACGACTGACTGCTGTCACGGTCCACGGACCGTTTTCGACAGCCACCATTCCGCATTCAGGCAGTAAAATCGTAAGATGTATCAAATTGTGGTAGACTGCAAGGCGAGTACGACGCCGTGCGCGCACGTGACAACGGAGAACGCTGTCCCCATTCGAGGATTTGTTTCTCCCAGCGCTCTCGAAGACATCCCGACGAGCTCGACGCCACTTGAATGGAGTTGGAACAACTGATTCAATAAACGAATGACGTAGACCGCCTTCTTACTCGTCGGCAGCCCAAATCCACTTCAACTTTCAGTCCCCCCCCAAAAGCAAAAAGCTATTAATTTCTCTAATCATGTCTCTAAAACCAGTCGGTTCGTTCGGCAGCCGACATCATCAAGACCTGCTGCAGAAGGTTTGTAATGTCTCTTTGATTGGTCACACACTGGTGTCAAATCAACCCATTGGAATCTAACTTTTGCATGCCTGGAAGCCAACTCAGAGTTTACGTGCGGCGTTCTCTGTTTTTTTCCCTCAAGATCTCCTCGACCATGGCGAGGCTCAAGAAGGAATCCGAGAAGAGAGCCAAGGCCCTGCGAAAGGAACGCGAGGCGCGGGCGTTGGAGCGGAGAAACGCCCGGCGAGCCGAGAACACGGAGGACGAAGGCGGCGGTGGCGTGTCGAACGTCGCCCACCTTCGCGAGGAAGGAGAGAGGCAGGACGGAAACAAGGGCCAAGAAGACGTGGACTCAGAAGAAGAGGACGGAGACGAGGAAGAGGAAGAGGAGGAGGAGGAGTTCGACCCAGAAGAGGGATTGCTCCTGGTGTACGTGTGCACTCATGTGGCGGTGATATCCAAGGGAAAGGGAGTCGCCGGGACGTACTTGGTCGCCACGGACACTAGCTGGAAAAGCAGGGAGCAGCTCGCTACTTCCGCCGTCCTGCTCCAGACCTTCGCCGCAGCCATAGACCGTATACAGGTACAGTGGGAGTGGTGGAACACAGCGAGCTGTTCCATGTTGGGCTGCTGTGTTCGGCTGTGTAATAGTTCCCAGCGACGAATTTGTATCGCGGAATACTGCTACGGCTGAGTGGGTACGGACTCTTTTGGTACACCTGGCGTCGACTTGTTTTTAGACGTGCCAGAAAATGCACTAGAAGAGGGTAGACTTGGCCGCGAGCTTGGGTACTACTATAGATGCTTTGCCTTTGGGCCCTTGCACAAGTACCGCTACCGTCGGCAGTCTACGGTGTTCCCATGTATTATCACCGACTATTGTCCCCTTCGGCCACCCCAACATTTCCGTGTTCCCCTCTCCAAGCTTCGACACAAGGTACTGTTCCTCGACGTGGTTCACACGGAGCGGAAGCACGAGGGCTTCAAAACGCGTCACCTTTACCCCCCTCGGAACCTCTACGACAGCGCGGCGGTGCTTTGCGGCGCCGTGGTGGTCGGGTCCTGCCGAATCGGGCAGACGAGCGAGGTAGACTTGGACGTTCTCCGTGGAGAGGCGGCCGACTTCTGGGCTGCTGTCGAGCCTAGACACAACCGCGGTGGTAAGAACAAGGCCAGAGGTGGGGTGGGTGACAGCGAAATGGATAGCGCGACCAGCAGCGGGAGAAGTAGTTGTGGCAGCGGCGGCAGCGGCAGTGGCAGCGGCAGCGACTGCAGTAGTAGTGATTCCGAGGGAAGCACAAGCGGAGATGATGACGAAGACGACCATGACAGCGATGACAGCACGGATCAAGAGAGCGGCAGCGAGTCTGGTAGGGGTAGTGATGGGAGCTCTGATGGCAGCGGGAGCAAGAGCAGCGGTACCGGGGGCAACCGGAGCGCCGGTAGCAGTACAAGCAGCGGTAATGGTGGCCGTCGAAATCAACGAAGTTACAGAAACGGGGGAGGAAGCAGCGGTGAGGATGTTCGCAAAACTTTCAGGGGAAACAAGCGAGATAGAAGGAGACACCGCCGGGCGAAAAAGACGAGCGGGCGAGAAAAGGGGGTACCCCGATCCCCTGACAGCGTAGCCAGTGGAAACAATCGGGGCGAGACCAGCCCAAAATCTGGCACAGCCCGGAAGGGCGCACTGGCTTCAGGCGGCGGAAGCGGCATGGCCAAGGGTCAGCAGCACGAAGAGGGCGGCATGCGAGCCTGCGCGGCGGTGTACGACAGGGCGAACTACGAGGACATCATGAGCGTCTTCGGCCGTGCGGTTCGCGACGGTCTCAAGGGGCAATGCGTCGAGAACACCAAGCTCTCGCGCGTGCTCGTGGTGCACCTGTACGACTTCATCCGGCGAGAGTTTTCGCCTTTCGCGCACCCGCGGTTGTCGGTAGCCCAGGAGGAGGCGGAAGCGGCGGGGGGTGGGGCCGGCGGCGGCGGCGTCGTTGGCGGCAATAGTAAGAGAGAGAAGGCGGCCGCGAAGAAAAAGGCGGCTGCCGAGAAGAAGGCAAAGAAGGAGGCCGACAGAGCCGAGGCAAAGAGGCGGGCCAGGCTCGGGGCTAAGGCGCTAGCGGAAGAGGTCCGACAGGCGAAGGAGGTTGCGATGTTGAGGGAGGTAGAAGAAGAGAAACGGCAACGAACGCAGGTGCATTGCCAGTGGTATGGGGAGCGCCAGGCGTCCGCGAGTGACTAGCCCCCGGTTGATGCTCATATCGCTAATTATTGTCGCAATCACGGGTCACCGGGCTCTTTGCTTCTTTCAGACAGGCACCTTTCGGGCTTCGTGGCCTAGTGAGTGTACAGGATACTCGTTGTTTTTCGTGAGATGTCAGAGTCGTATGCAATAGCCACCCCCTGTGCCCCTTACCAAACAAGAACATCAAGCCATTCAAGAAGCACCCAACACCCCCCCCCCCCAATGCGGCACGGCCCGTACAACATCTAAAATCAGGTGCCGGTGATCGCAGGACTCAGCATCTCCGCGATCGCGAGAGCAACTGCCTGCGCCTCGCCGAGCCCGCCCCCACAGCCCCTGATCCCCTTCCCCATAGAGATCACCCGCACCTCCGTCCGCCTGGCTTGGGACGACCCACCCTTTCCGGGGGAGCCACCTTTCCTCTACGAGCTCGAGGCAAAGGGCGACCTCAGGGGCAACTCGACATGGGCGTCGGTGTTTCCGCCCCGGTTCCCGTCGATTTCATCCCAGCCTGTTAACATTTCCCACCGGGTGCCAGGCCTCGGACTGAGGTACAGGGTAAGGGCGTGCAACCACGGCGGGTGGGGTGCGGCCAGCGACCCTACAGAGGTGGTCACGACCAAGGCTTGGCTGGAGGACACGGGGGCGAACTCTGCTGCGCGCGCGATGAAGTCCCTGGCGCGGTATGTGTGTGATTTTGAGTGGTACTGGTGCGACCTTGTGTCGCACGGCACGCGGAGCAGGTGGCGACAGGGGGTATAACCGGTTGTGACGTCTGTTTCGTGGAGTATACACACGCCGTTGTACACGAACATGAACATGCTTTCATTTTATGCATCGCTTCAAAGTTACCTGCCTCCCTTGCTGCACCCATCGATCTCCCTGGTCTCAACCCGTGTCAACACTCTTGTTCAGCGCTGGGGGGGCAAGGCTGGTTCTCGCAAGAATGCGCCGCTACTCGGCCTCACTTCTCAATCAAGAGAGCGGTTTCCACCAGCTGGTGGCGGAGTTCAACAAGGGGCTAGGCATTCCGCGAGCCTCGCTGGCCGAGGAGGTGGCTGTCGTGGTCGCCGATGCGATGGAGGCGTTCTCACAGGTAACCGTCGCACCCTTAGCACAAGAGATGGGGCTACGATTCAGAGCGGTTTGTGACCGTCTCCTACGATGTTTTCTCGAATGGTTTGCTGTGTTCTTGTTGGTATTCTGCTTCTGATGATTATCGGAACCCCGCACGCCCGGACGCCCCGATCGCGGCCACCGTCTCAGGTCCGAGGGATTCAAGACTCTGGCCTCCTGCTCCTCGGATGGGCTGCGAGGGGGAAAGGAGAAGCAGGGTCGGACGTTCTCTCGGCAGACCTGGTGGAGCGGTGTCTGGGTCTGGTCGCGACGGCGGAGAAGCTGCACTCGATGGACGTTGCCATCAAGGGCCACGCGATCTGGGCCAGGTCCCACCTCCTCCGATGGGGAGAGGGAAGGGGCGACGCGGGGGCCATTGTGGAGTATAGCGTGGCCAGCAGCGAGGACGACGTGTGGGCGGGTGCATCATCCTTGGCGGAACAAGATGTGGGGAAGGGATGACAGATCGTACCAAGTATGGTCGCAACATGCTCCGAGCTTCGCCCATCGTGATGCGCCGTGTATGCGAATGTTCGCAAGCATTTGTCTTGCTTTCCTGTTGTAGTGCTGTCAATTTCACTGACCTATGCCAAGGCTGTCATAAATGCCACTGCAGGGATACTCCTAGCCGTGCGTGATCTCCCTACGATGATGTCCGTTCGACCTTCCTTTGGTGGAATCCTGTGACACAGGTGCAATAGATAGTGCGAGTTCAAACGTATCCAATATGCCGGACCCTACGTCTTGAACGGGCCCAGCCCTCCCCGCCCCCCACTGGCGCAGCATGTCCCAAACATCATCTCACAATTCTCCAGTGGGCAACAAGCAGTGCCAGACTCCTTCGAACGCTTGCTCGGCGTCATCGTTCCAGCTGGTTCATTTGCTTTTACCCGCCTGAGCTCTGTATTTGTACTGATTGCCTCGGTGGGTGGTGTTGATGCTGCCACCTTGCCGTCACAGTGCGCCTAGTGTCGACCACCTCCCTCCGCGTGGTACTGCCGCGACTCTTGCATCTGTCCCCAACGAAAAACACAGACGACAAAAGACACCGAGGCGTTACTCCTGGTATTAGCTCTGCAAGTTACAGCGTGCGTCAGGTCACGGCAGTGGATTTGCATCATGAGGAAGCGGGTGGACAATGTTTGCGTTTTTTCTTGATTCGTGAACTTCGACACATGGGGACTTGTGACGATCGCTCACACAAGCACCATTGTCCTGCCCCTGCGGTGGGACTGCTCTCTCCTTACTGGATCAAGTTTACAACCGTTCGTTGAGTTTTCTCGGGTTGTCCTCGGCATCGTGCGTCGGCCACAGACACACAGCGCGTCGTTAAACAGTTGGAGCCAGCTCGGGGGGAAATCTCCTACCCACATTTCACCTTAGACCACCGTCCCAACAGAGCCAGGTGTTGACCCGATCTGGGCACACGCCCTTTCGACGCTGCAACCAACGACGTTGAGTACCTTGCGACATGGGTATTCAGGTCTCATATCACACCTGAGTGGAAAGTCGAAGTTGCTCAGAGAGAACCTGCTCGAGCTCCGGAATCAGTTCCGAAACGAGAGACTCCTTCTCGCTTCTCGCCGCGGTCCTGTTTTCGAGCATCTCTGTCTCTCCGCCACCAGTTCCTCTCGGATCTGTAGCACCATGCCCATAGTCCGTTGGCCCGGTGCTCTCGGCGGCAGGCAGCAGCTCCCGACGAAGTTGCCGCACCATGCGCAGCGCAGCCATCGCCGCAACAGGGGAGGCACCTCCGCCGCCGCCGCTACCACGGCAGCGTTCACCGCAGGGCACGCCACCGATGGACGCGGGTGCCGATGCCAACTCGCCCTTGTCCAGGACTCCTGCTACTTCCTCAGACGCCGTCGTCGCCCCGGGGCCAATGCCCAGGACAGACAGCAGCTTCACTCTGTGGAGGCGCGCGCAGACACCTGCGGCGAGCAGCTCAGCATCTGGATCTGAAGCTCGAGCTATCCTTGCGAGCCAAGCGCCGTCTATGGCGCCGTCACCACCACCACCACCACCACCACCACCCTGGAGGCGGTCTGCACAACCTCCGAGTCCTAGGTAGTCAAAGAACGCTCGCACGCCGACGGCGCCGAGGGCCTCTACTTGAGCGAGACTATCGGGCGGGAGAGGTGCTGGAGCTGGTGCTACTGTTGCTGCAGTTTCATCGTGTCCCAGCACCTCATTTCGCCCTTCCGCTTCATTTTTCGCAGGGTCATCAGAAGAACGACACGGGGCGGGTGGTGCCGGCCGACTCTCGCCCCGCGTCCCCGCTGCTTGTGCGGCTCGCTTCCGCGCAAGGTGTCCACGCGCCGCCGACTCGATTCGGACGGCCGCTGCTTCCTCCTCGTCGTCGTTATCGCCGCGACAAGCGAGACGACGGTCGGTCTCTTCTTCTCCCGCGGAGCCGCGGCGGCGGCTAGCTCTGGCCTCCTGCTCGCTTTCTAGCGACGCCCTCGCTCGCATGCCTCGTACGCGCGCCTGGATCGTCGCCGCGCTGGTATCTTGCCGTCCCCTTCGACGTTCGGTATCGTTGGTCCCGGTTGCGGCCGAACTGTTCGGCTGCTGCGGGACGATGCCCCCCGTGTTTCGACGGCGGCCGGCCGGGCAGCGGAATTTTCCCAGGTTTCGGTTAGCGAGGACATGGAAAATTTTGTAGCGCCGGGGTGAAGGGCCGGGGAGGTGCAAAAGAGTCAGATCACCTGAATGCTTGTGCTTTTGGTGCAGATGGGACGTAGCGTGGCGAGGTGAAGTGGAGCAAGAGCAGTGGAACGAAACTGGGGCCTCGTGTGGTGGGGTACGCATGACATGACTCACATTCTGTTCCTTTGCTTTTCGCCGGCGCGCCTTCGCTTTCGCCGACATTTCCGCTGTAAGAGCGTCTTTCAGCATTCGCTTTCTCGCCACGTCCTGGCCGTGAGGTCGGACGTTCGGTTGTTACTATTGGAGACGTATGGTATGTAATACAGCGCGAAAGCTGATATATTAGTGCCTGCTTGCCACAAAAACTTCACAATCCTTCGCGTTTTAGATAAACCCACCCACGCCTGGGCACGCACGAGACTTGAGCGACGGCAGGGCGAAAACCTCCCCTCATTTGCTGGCCGTTCAAAATCAAGCGACGTATCGTCCTCACGTGCATATCGCAACGATCTGCTATCCAACCCCACGCAAACCAGACCCGTGTTCACAGTATCTTATAAAGGCTCCGGGTGGGCAACGACCAACCGAATAAACAAAAACGTTGCCCTCTCAAGAATCCGCAGGGCCCCGGCGAGTAGTCGGTCCTTCAGGTGAGACTATGTGTACGAGCGTGCGGTTGTCTTTTGGCCCCTAGACCAAGGGAAAAGAAAACGAAGAAAAATGTTCAAAGCACTCTGGTGAACACCTCGACGTGGTGGTTGGTCATGTAAGGAACACGGGTGGACTGCTCCTCACGAAGCTACACCCACCCCGGCCAAGTCGAACCCACCAGCCTCTTGGCGAACAGCCGCACTCGCACGCCCGTGATCTCCCCGTCGAGCTCCTCGATCCCTTCCTCCAAGACGGCCGCGTCACCCCTCAGTCGGTACATCCTCTGGGTCATCTTTCGCTGCCCGGCCTCTCGCGCCGCTCCCCTCACCCGCGTCGCCCTTTCCCTGTCCTCTTCCCTCTCGCCCTCGAGAGAGCGCAACTTTTCTTCGAGGTCCCGGATCGTTCCCTGGGTGCCCGCGAGCTGGGTGTTCATCGCTCGAATGCGATCCCGAATATTGGGTCTTCGCCGACCACCACTACCACCACCAACCGCGTTGTTGCCGGACTTGAGAGCGGCGTTGTCACCGCTACCGCCGCCAAACTCTACGGAGCCATAATTTCCACCTAAAGGTGCGGGTTGTTTCTCGAGTAGGATGAAGTCCTGCGCGTCCCATAGCCTTGCTAGTTGATCGCCGCTGTTGGCGCTGTTGAGGCCGATGTCGGAGAGGGGCCTGTTGGCGGTCTTTGCGGAACCCTTGGGGGGTAAGAAGAGGGGGTTTCGACGAGTCGGGAAGCCGAGCCACGCGATCGCTTCGGGGATACCATCGGCGAAATCAGCGTCCTGTGCCAATGCTGTGCGAAAGGACCGCATGCCTTCCCCCTGTAGTTGAGATTCGGTGATCATTCGGTAGATCATTCCATGACCCCGCCCCACCACAGAGAGAATGGGGTAAAGGGAGAGAGAGAGAGAGAGAGAGAGAGAGAGAGAGAGAGAGACGAGATGGCAGCCATTCCGAGCGAAATGAGAAACAAATAAATGCAGCAACGAATGGGTCGGCACTGGAAGGAAGAAGGTGGACTGGCTGGTTGTCATCTTGCACCGCCAAGTGATTCGCGGTGGGTTCACAGAACCTGGTTAGCTTCATCCAGATACACTACTCTGTAATCTTCAGAGAGGCATGCACACAAGATTTCCCGTTGTCAACCATTCAGACGAGTGGAGTAGTTTCATTCTGGCATAGAAACGATTTTGATTAAGCTTGCAGGGTGGAGAGCGACAGCACGCCCTACTACACGAGAGCTTGCTGGCTTGTTGCATTGTGAAGTACTCATTTTAACGACCAGCAACCGCAACGAATGGCAAAACTGAGCCCTTGGTGACTTCTTGCCTGGATGAAGACAGGAGCGTTGTGTTACTTCTACGCTATCCTTGCTTAGAGTCCATACCTTCTTTGCCGTGTGTTTGTCTCCGACTCTCTCGAGGTCTGGATGCTGCATCATGTCTTCAAATATTTCAAGGCTAGCCGCACGATAAAGGTTCAGAAGCTGCGCGAGCTCGCCACCACCTTGAGTTGTCGCAAAAACTTCAACGCTGTGCATTTTGAGCCAAACGTCCTGTCAATTCAATTCCATTGATCACAGCAGACGGGAAGAGTCTTCATCTAATCCACGAACGAACACACCGCAAAACGTCGGGTATATATGCGCTTTCATGTATATCTACTCCACGTGTCCTATTCGATAAAGTTACACCTTTAGACAAGTCAGCGCTGACTGGTCTAATGGTACCAGGTGTAACTTTATCGAATATGCCCCCCCTTCGGTTCCTCCATCCACAGTAGCAGACCCGTAAAGAACGCACCAAGTTCACACGCATTTGGTACCCTTACGTAAGAACAGCATCTTAGGGTCGAAGCCCAATGTCCGTTAAATCTGACTGGTGGAGCTTTGTATCCCCCCTGTATTCGACTTTGAGTCGAGCCCACTGTTGTTGTTGAGCTGTGTCTCCAAACCCTACAGTGGTGTCTTGGTTTTTCGACAACAACAACGGTCTGAACGTGGGTTCTTCACAATAATTATTCGTAGCCGCGGCAAGGTAGTCCCCGGCGTACGCATTGGGATGAGCTTCGATATAGGGACTACAAGGACAGGAGAGAAGGAGCAACATATGAACGAGGGATCACCTACCTGCAAGATATCGCCGCGCCTCGCAACCTTAGCTGCGAATTCTTCCCTCTCGCCGCTACCTAGCTCGGCCGTAGCGGGTCTGTCCGGTTCCGAGTCCATTAATGCCCCCTCTCTTATGTTACTGGTAGAGGCCATCTTGCGTTCCTTCGCTCTTCTTCTGGCAGATGCCTTGCTTATTTGAGTGGACGATGGGAGCTCCTTGCTCGGGCGCAGAGGCGGTTGACGGGTGGCCATGAGCCCTCCGCCGTCTTTATGCCGCAGTGCTGCGCCGGCCAGGCACGGCAGAGCTATCTGTCCTCGAAATGCTTGGGGAGGGCTTGTTCCAATACGCCCTCCGGAGGACTGCGGTCGCTGCGAAGACGCCCTTGTCATGTTTTTGTTGTTGAAAGCCGCTGAAGGTTGCCTCAAGTCGATTAATGACGTCCCGTTGATCGAGGCCTCGCGCTGCATTTGATTGAAGTTCCGAGCAATCGCCTGCATTTGATATTGGAATTTTGCAAGAATTTCCACAACGAACGACGGGCATGTACGGCGGAAGATATAGTCTAGGAGTGTTTGAGAACAACGGAAGCGGTACGGCGTATGCATTCAAGATTTAAAGATGATCGTCGTAGTAGCTGACGGCAGATGATAGCAAAGCCGGGTATGCTATATACATGCATGCGTACTGCAGTCTCTATGTTCCGGAGCACATGCTGCAACAAAACTCTCGTTGTGTTTTACACAACACGAAGGTATCGTACACGTTCGATGCAGCACGTACAAGGGGGCAGAACGGGTCGCTCTCAGGCTTGTATCCAGGCAGGGATGCTTTCGGACTAGTCGGCGCCCAGCACGCCTCCATCTCCGCAGCGACACATCGCTCCCGTTGGTAAGCGCTGCACGTCTTCATCTAGGCTACCGCTCAATGAAAGAGAGAACCATTCCAACAACGACGACCCTTCCTTATGGACTTCGGCTATGTGTCCAATGGGAGGGTCAGATTAGGGCGCCGCCGACACAAATGCGGCAAAAAATATCGCGAATATGTTTAGCGAGCGCTGAATGAAGCATGAAGCATGAATCGGTTCTACGGTTCTACGAATTAACGCCATTACGCATTACGCCGCACAGGTAGCGACGAAACGGAACATTTCACGCCGCATTGCCCCGCATTTTTCTCCGAACTACTGCTGTACTGCACTGGTAGGCTGTGCTGCCTGTGGTGGTATTACCATGGACCATCTCGAATTCAATCCTGGACTTCAATCGATTGGCTCGTGTCTGATTTTTAGAAAGTAAACACATCTCAGGGAAAGACTTGCTCTACCCGCGGTCGTTCGAGGTACATCTCCAGTCGAAAGGGATGTGTTGAAGTCTCTACAGTGAGTGGAGGGAAACCGGCTTGAAACTGGGCTTATTGATTTGTTTCTTCCAAGAAAAGTGTTCCATGTGCCCTTCGTTTTGAACACGTGACCATGCACGAGAAAATTAAAACGTGTGTATTCGTTTGCTGTCTCACGTATTTCGCTGAGACTCCTCCCAGCGGAAAGCGGTAGGGTAGTGTACAACTCCCCGCATCGTACAACAACAGAGTACCGCGGTCCGGCCAAAGAGAGGTACAAGAGCACCATGTCGACACATGGAGGGGGGTGGACATGTACGACTGGACAGATTTAGGTGCTTGCCAACCCCTGTCACTTTGTCACTCTACAAGTCAGATGGTAGACGCACGTGTCGAACATGTAGTCTACGGAGCAAAGTTTCCACGAAATTGATTAAGGCACCGATAGTGCCTCCCAAGGGTGGACGAAATGAACGTCAACAAAAATCGTCGCCATTCCTCCTTTGCGTTAGAACATAGCAATTAGTTGCCCGAGGAACAACAACTGGAACAACAACTCCGCTAGCGGTCGACATACATCTAAGCATCCTAACGCTCCGAACGTCAACAAAAAAGGGGAATCTCGCAGAAATCGCTCCCCACATCCCCAAACTCGCGAAGCAGAATCGTGCAAAAAAAAGGAACCGCGTACTTCTTGGGGGCCATATCAAAGCGTATGCATACGACACACAAACTATCCTCGTCATTCCGCCCCGCGTCCAAAGTCTCCAGCACAAACGGTAGTTCTTGTCATGCCTCAGCAGTAAACGAGAGAGACACCCAGCAAAAGGGCTCCTTCGCGCACGTCTGGTTCGGGGGCGCAACAAAACAAGGCCCGCGCAAGCGGGGTGCTGCGCCACCTCCCAGATTGCATGCTCGCGCCCGCCGTGCGTACACGCCAGGACTCGTTCTCGCCAACAAGCAGGCAGCGTATCTCCTCCATCTTGACTCCCCTCCTCCTCCTCCTCCTGCTCGTTGTCTTTCTCCCCCTACACCCCCTATACAACTAGTACAAGGTGGCGTTCGTCCCCCTACTACAACTTCTCTCCGCTCTCCAAAGCTATATATGTTACACTAACCCAGACTCTGTCCACGACCCCCCCCCCCATTTTTCTTTGATCTCACGATCGGGAACACAAGACAACACGGCGTGTGTGGCTACTGACTGAACTACATGACAGGCGCCTCCTTCACAATGGCAGCAATGGAGAATGGAGCGAACTTGTACCTGCGTGTCGTGTTGGTTTGGACGATCGCGGGGGGCGGGAGGAACAGGCGAAACAGAGGGCGGGTTCGCGACGGGCGTAAGCAAGCCAGGGTTACGTGTGTGACCAGCAAGGCGACGGCGGCAAGATAGACAGATATGGAGAGATAGAGGCAGAGGGAGACAGAGACAGAGACAGACAGACAGATTTAGAGACAGAGACACAGACAGACACAGAAAGATAGAGACAGAGAGGGCGGGAGGGAGAGAGAAAGAGACAAACGAAAAATGTTCCCACGGGGGTTACGGACGCACAAAGACAGGGAGGGAAAGACAGCCGGCGAACCACAAACAAACGAATACACACACCCAGTGAACTCGTCGACCCCAGGTAACACTAGCGGCGTCTGGACCTGCCGCACGTGCCGAGTACAAACAATATATTGTTACATGCAGAACCACCTACACGTACCGAAAAAAATACTTACTGACATTACATCGTAACAACAGAGATCCACCTACCTGAGTGGCACCGCGCCCTGATCAAGAAACCCAACATGGCAAAAGCAATACAGTCAACAGTCCCTTCTAACCAACCAATCAGGGTGCAAGGGGTGACGCCGCTTGCAAGAGGCAATCACGCGTCTACGCATTGAACTAAAGCCAATGCACCAGCGCATCGCATATGGGGCTCAGTTTGAGCACGCCGACGGCAGTTGTTTACAAAATGAAACACGAAATAAAGACAGACAGATTCCCACGTCGATTTGATCCCGAACATCCCCGCAAACACGACAGAGGAGCGCACCAGGTCTCTCCAAAAACGAGCAAAAAAAAACTAATCCAACTTTCTCACCCGTCCGCCTTGTAGAACTTGGTCTGGAACTCCACCCAGTGCAGCCGGAGGGCGTGCAGGAAGCACTCCAGCACGTCCATGCACAGGATGACGCCGAAGGTAACCCCGGCGAACATCGCGAAGCCGATGAAGATGGCGAAGGCGTTGCCCATCTGGATGGTGGTGAGCATCGTCTTCTCCCAGAACACGGCCGCGAGCTCCGTGTGCGCCAGCGACAGCGCCCACAGCCGGAGGTACGAGGCAGTGTTCGAGACCATCCCCAGCACGAACTCGATCGTCTCGATGGCCTTCAGAACAGGATTTTGGTTTTCCATGGAAGGTGGTGCGCGCGGGCGAACAACATCGTGTGAGTGTAAAGATTTCCGGTGCAGACCCTCCTCGTCCGTCGCCCCCTACCCCACCTTAACTACTCCTAAACAAGGGGAACCACGTCACATAAAACGCAAGGCAACATCTCACAGGTACGCAAGGCATCATCTCACATCTACGGAAGGTAAGTCACCCCCCAGGGATCGCCCCCCCCAAAAAAAAAAAAATTAATACTTATTTACGCGTTTGAGAAACAAAACCTTTTGGCGCTCACACATGTACCTGGTGGATGACGATCTCGGAGAAGTCGTGCTCCTCGTGCCCGCCGTGATCCCCCCCCGCGGCGCCGTGCCCGCCGTTGTCAACCTTGTCCGATGAGTTGTGCTCCCCGGCCATGAGCTGGCTCTCGGAGCTGAAGCTGTCGTGCCTGGCGGCGGCCTTCTTCATGCGGCTGCGGATCGTCAGGGGCTTGGCCAGGAGGAGAACGGGGATGGACCCCAAGGCTAGGAGAAGGAGAATCGTCTAGAAAAAAGAGAAAGAAAAAGGAGACGACAGAAATTGACGGAGGGAGGAAGCGAAGGTGTACGAGGAAATTCATGAGCTCTTGGTGCGTGCGTGCGTGAGGGCCGTGTGTACCGAAATCAGAGTGGCGAATTCTCTGCGGTGACATCTGGCAAGTAGGTCGGGACGGCTTCGTGCGATCTTGAACGGACGGGATCAATAAAAAAGAAGTAACGCCATGAGATAGCACGTTCTTATTGCACTGAAGTGGGAGATCGCTGAGAGACGGGGAGGTGAAAGAAAGCAAAGCGCGAGCACCAGACGACGCGACACGATATCATAAACTGGAGAGACAAACAAACCGGAACAACGGCCAACGACGCCGGCAAGAAAATCGAATCGAATCAAGCCGGATATTGGGAGAAAAAAAGAACAGCAAACAAACGAAAGGCGTCGTGAACAACGAGCCGCACCGGCCGGAATGAGCTTGGTCGAAACGGATGATTCGACTTCCCCATTGAGCCAGAGTCCATCCGACGAAAAACACAACCACGACTATCATCGACCACCTTTGGATCCACTTGGGCCCCAAGGCACTGGGGAAAATATTTGTATGACTTGCACAATGTACGTTTTCCTTCCAAGTACATGATTTCTCTTCCCCTACATGTAGGCACGTGCACATTACAATCCGGGCTCGTCGGCGATGACATCAGACAACAGCCGCCGAAGGTGCGGGATATACACCCACTCCGGACAGAGGTCTTCAACATACCGTACATACATACCTGAACGCTGGTCTGCCCCGCGTACATGGGCTCGTCGACAGTACCCGGCGACAGCGCGATGTTGATGAGGCTCGTGATGAGGTTGGGCGGCTGGCAACCGTCGCCGCTTCCCCCGTAGTCCAGGGGGCACATGTCGGCGGTGGTGCTATCCGAGTCGCACGTCACGTTCTGAGGCGTGAGCCCGTCGAAGCACGTGGCGGTGTACATGCGGTAGTCCCAGTCGATGGACCACTTCATGAAGATCAAGACGATCATGTACCTGTTCATTTTTTGTATTATTTTAGGGTTTCAGTCGCGTTGGGAAAAAAAAGGCACCGTTAGTTGAAGAATGTATGGAAATAGCTTTGTGGCGGGGAACAAGCATAGTTCGTCTCATGCGATCTGGCACATCAATGAGGATTTAGTGAAGAGGGGAGGGGTCAAGGGTCAAGGGGACAAACGAACGCCTGAAAGAACAAATAAGACGTTCAAGAACACAACACCATTACCACCATTTACCGCCATAGACAACAACCAGCTTTGCCGCACAGTGTCCATCAACAGCCGCTACAATCTCGAGAAAAGAAAACGCACGAAAAACACCCGCCTAACGAACAGAAAAATAAAGGAGAAGAACGCAATAATAAAATTGAAAACACAAGACAACGAAAACTAAACTGGTGTGTGTTTGTGTGTACTCATAGTCGTGCATGCCGTAGTCGTTAGACCATTGACCTCGCATCCCTACAAAGCCGGGACGGGGCACGCCGGGTTCTCACCGGACCAGGCTCTAAACTGGGGGGGGGGGATACAAGGCTCATGAAAAAGAAAATCACAAGGCGTACCCGAAGAGGGATAGGACGAAGATGATCATGGGGATGAATTCGTAGAAAAAGTCGAGGGACTCCTTGAAGTACAGCGCGTTCATCGCCTTGAGGACGACACCGAACGTCATTTGGGTCACGCCCAGGATCACCGAGGTCTTCATCTTCATCGAGTTGAAGAAGAGCAGCTGCGAAAAAAAAAAAAAGGGAGACAAAAGACAAACACACAAGCTGTAAAGTCGGGGTAGCAGACGCGGTCCATGTCAAAACTGAAACAGCAGACGCAAGACATACCACGCAACAGGGGAGCGCTCGCCTATAAAATATGGTATACCGCAAAGTTTCATAGCAGACATTGCCCGCAGACACAACTATACGTCACGCCGCATACGACCACCGCGGAGGTGGGTGGCGCTTTGACAAACGCTGTGCATTTTTCACGATACGCGGCACATCTCTACGAAATATCAGCAACGGCGAATTGGAAGATGTTGTATGTAGCGGTACGTAGAGCGGGAAACGCGTTGCTCTTGCTATAATACAACCTCGTCCAGGATTGTACACCAAGGTGTAAGGACCGATGGCCAGAACAAGTGTGACGGAAAAAAAATAGAAGTATATACCCGTGGTGTGTGTCACATATTGTCCATGTCTAACCTCGTTTCCGGCGATGTGCCAAGCGGGGTCGACGCCGAAGGGGTACACGGCGTCGGCATCGCCGTAGAAGCTCACGCTGTCCGCCTCCTCGCCCTCCTCCTGCCGTTCCGCGACATGGGGCATGGACACGACGCAAGACATGCGACCATCGGGCATGGGGGCCAAGAGTTAGACGCGAGGGACGATACGAGGACATGACTACCGTCAGTAGTGGAAGACAGTAGTGGAAGACATGGTGTAGTTGTAGTAACGGAGGACAGGATGTAGTGCCAGTAGTGGAAGAAGACATTGTGTAGTTAGTTATTATGGTGGAAGCACACCGCCAAGAGAGAGCGGGGGTACGGTAGGGTATGGCAGGGTCAGTGCTCCTCGCTGAATAGGAACAACAGCGAAGGCATAGAGGACACCAAGACACACGAGGCACGCAAAAAGCACTGAAATATGGGTACCAAGAGAGGGTAGGACACATGGGTTCGTCGTAAGATGAACGAACGCAAGGCAGCACAGACAGGAGGAGACGTACAAAAGAAGTCGCCAAGGCAGTGTCGAGACACAAAAGCCCCCCCGCCCCCCCGCGGGGAGACAAGAAACAAACGCGTTTGTAAGTCTTCGCGCCTCTCATTCTTCTTTCAACATCCCCTTCCTCTCACCGTGTCAATCCCATCGGACCAGACCCAAGACGATCCGAACAGGTTAAGCGGTAGGGAGAAGAAGTCGTTGTAGATCAGGCCGGCGTACACGCTGAAGAAGCCCATCATCGTTATCATGTACCGTGCGAGATAGCTGTATGTAGGGGGTGAGTGGGAAGGGGGAGGGGGACTCGTTTGATGCTCGCTGGGCTTTCGGTCGGTTTGTACAGCTGACGTGCTTTTGGGTCGAAGAGCCCAGCGAACCTAAACAAACCATTTTTTTGTTGTTGACAAAGTCTGTTTTACAGCAGTCTTTGCACTTTCTACCAAAAACTGTTACCCACGGGGGAGATATCGCTGTACCAGGTATGTTGCTTGGGAAATCGTAGAAACACAGGTAAATGTAGTGCTCCGCTAACGCTATGAATTAATTCACTACCAATCCTCGACCCGTCTTTATCTTGGATGGATATTGATTGTGTTATAATTAAATAAATAAATAAATAAGTGGATGCACTTACAGTCCACCAGCAAGCTCGCCCAAGTCCCTGCGACCGGCCACGCTCCCGTGCGTGAATACGAGGAAGAGGCCGAGGAACATGATGACGGTGCCATGCCCGATGTCGCCGAACATGATGCCGTACAGGAAGGGGAAGGACGCCGCCGTGAAGAGGGCGGGGTTGGCCTCTTTGTACCGGGGAACGCCGTACGTGTCCACGAATTCCTGCCGGGTGTTGTCGTCGTCGTCGTTGTTGTTTGAGAGTCAACGTTCAACTATAGATAAAAATCTTCTCTCGCGTTTTATGTTTCTGGAGCATCGTTCAACTCCAGATATATCCTTCTTGTCCGTCGTTCGTTGTTGATGTTTTTTTTCGGTTGTTTCATTTAACTCTATTATTAATAGATTAAATCTCGTCTCTCATTTCTTCCTTGTTTCGGGTGTGTGGTGTCTGAATCGACGTTCAACACTAAATAAACCTCGCCTCGCAAAAAATCAAAAAAGTTTGGACCGGCTTATACCATCACATAACCTGTGATTTCAAGAGCCCCATCTTGATAATCCGGTGCTTACTCAGCAACAACCAGCATGCACATGCGAGGAAGGTAGATACGAGGGTGGGCGTACTCATCTTTACTGCTATAGGGGGGACTTCCGGCCTCAATAGCAATCCTTGAAAACACAACAGTACGAGGGGCATGGGCACCTGGAAAGCAATGGTGAAGGCGTTGAGCTTGAAGTACGTGGGAGGGGTGGGCCACGGCTTGGGCATCACCTCCACCATGGACGGCATGCCCGTGTCCATCTCTGCGTGGGCCCTGTTGACGGCCATCTGCACGCCCCCCATGCCCTCCTGCACCACCCAGCCCTCCCCTCGCAGGATGCCGCGAACGTCCGGTCTGGAAAGCAAGACGACGTCATGTTCATGTTCATGTTCATGTTCAGCAAAAAAATGTCAGACGAAAGATGGGAACAGCAACCTTACGTTCATGTTCAGCACGAAATGTCAGACGAAAGAGGGCAACAGCCAACCTGTATGTTCATCATGTTCAGCAAAAAAAAACAGACGAAAGAGAGCGGCACAGCATCTTCGACAGACATGCTGACGCCGTTCGTTTGTGTTTGTAAAACGTTCACAACCAAACTGGGGGACGAAATTTCGCAACCAAATCGCTGTAATCAGTACAAGGTGTGAAAGTGTTGCAATAGTCGCTGTTATAGCTTTTGGTGTGGTTGGTGGGGTGTTGACAGTGCCCGGAGGTTCATGTCCCTCGAGTCCCTCCCACGAAAAGGAGAACGTGGCTTCACAAAAAAAAAAGCGCTTGGAAAGCGTTGGTGGCAGATGCGAGGTACCCAACGGGGCACGGAACTAAACTAAACGAACAACCCATCCCACAAAAACACCATACGCATACCTCAAATAGCAGGTATGAGTGCGTGTTCGGGGGGGGACGGGGGGGGGACGGGGGGTAATCCAAGGCTCCAAGAAGAAAAAAACACACACGAGACGGGAGACAGCAAAGCGAGCTGCAATACCTGCCATATGCATCGTTGGTGGGTGGTTTCGCTCGAGGTGCGAGAACGTACAGCAAACAAGGACGTACGTTTGCGTATCATGATCATGATCTCACTTGAAAGTGTTGAGGGTGTGGTACACCGCCTTCTCGCGAAGCACGGTCCACGTCCAGCTCTCCAGCCGGTCCGCCGCAGTGGCGCATAGGCTCATGCGAGCATCACGGTTCTGGACGTGACGAAAAACAAAACGGTGAACAGGAAGAAGGGGGGGGGGGGGGGGGGGGGGCGGAAAGGGGGCCCCCGGAGGTGAACCGGCAGGGTTCAGGGGGGGGGGGGGGGGGGGGGGGGGGGGGAACCCAAATTTTTTGCCGGCCTTAACGGTTAAACCATTTACCCCCCCCCCCC